CAGACTTCAATCCTTGATCTTGAGCAAGGATAGAGAGGTCGATGCAGTGAGGAAGACCCATCTATTAATAAAACCCTGCTTGGAAAACATCCATTTCCCTCTTGGATTCACATGCTCTATCATGAAATAAAGCTGCAGCTTGGGTCTAGACTCCTGTGAATAGTACGGTCCAAGTTTAGCACTTGTTACTGTGTATAGACGCACAGTTTCAGTGCCAGCTCCTCTCACACGGGCTGGCTTTGAAAAATAGTAGCAATATGTGAAAGCAATTGAAAGAGAGACTAGGAGGAGCAGGGGAGGGAGAGATAGGAGGAGAATACTACTGTACAGAGTCAGTGAGTGGCCAAGTTAGGGTGAGAGAGAGAGAGAGAGAGAGAGAGGGAGGGAAAGGGAAAGCGACACACACACACACTTATACACACACAGAGGGTGCAGATAGCGGGAGGGGAAAACCTCCTCTCTGAAAGGGATGATGTCAGTCTCTGCAGCTGAGCCCCGGTCCCCGACTCGATGGGGTGAACACTCTCTCCTCCTCAGAGAGGGAGACACAGATGGGGAAGACGCAGGGGAGAGTGTGTTGAATGAAAACCTGCAGGTATGTATGTATATATATGTATATATGTATATGTATGTACACCACCTTTTCATCCATCTCCCACTTCATTCATTAGTGCCTTTTGTCTCGTGCTGCCTGCCATAATAACAATGCTTTCAAGCTGCTGCCAGCGTCTCATTACCTCAAAGTGATTATCAGCTTTTTAAAACGTGTCAAACCTCAGGAGCGTGTGTTTGTGTTGGAGCGTTTTACACTTCTGTAACCCAGCCTGTCTGCGTGAATCTGTGTGGGTGTGTGTATTTGAGGGGGTGTGGGAGGGGAGTGCTAACTGTAACTAGGGGGCACACACACACACACACACACGCACACACACACACGCACACATAGGCATTAGAGGAAAGTTTTTAATGAAGAAGAAACTGCTGTATCGAGTCCTCTTGGGGAAGGAAACAGCAGATTTGTTTAAATCTAAATCAGACTTGGGGTCTCTGGAGCAGAGAGCGTGACAGAGATTAGAGATTAGAGGAAGGGATTTTTTATTGAACATGGATTTTTTTTCTTGTCTCTTGCGTCATTTTCTTATGTCTGCATGGGGGAATTGCCTAGTTAAAGCAATGCCTTCTGGGATACTGGTGGTCAGACAGGTGACATAGCTGTGGTGAGTCATCCTGTAACATCTGCACCTGACACCTCTGTTATTTAACTTTAGGGAGCAGCTTGGCTTATGCACAGAGTCAGTGTCAAAGCTTGTAATTCATGCTCTCTCCTCCCACACACTCTCCAGTGCAGCCAGTGTTTACAGTCGGACGTGTTGTGTATTATACAGGAAATATCGATTTTTGGTTGCTGAGATTATTTATGAATGTCACAGCCGCCAGACAGCAGCAACAACAAGAGATGACATTGACAAAAGACAAAATGTGTCTTTGTGTGTGAGAGAATCCTTCACAGCCAGACCCCTGAGTGTGCGTGTGTGTGTGCGTGTGTTCGTTCCTTTCTCTGTCTAATGAACTCACAGGCCATCGGAGGAGAGATAGAGAGAGAGAGAGAGAGAAAGAGGAGCAGGTCACAGACAGATTTCAGCAGCAGCCATCCATTTACACACTCCGGCTGTTGGCATGCCACTCAATTAGTCACAGCGTGGATTACACTCCACCGGGGGCTTGGGGAGAGAATCACACTGGAAATCCAATTTTGTGCCACATCAAATGTCAGGGTAGATCCTTCAGCTTCCTCTGTGATAGGCACAGTGATGGCAGGAGGAGAAGCCGAGGGACGGCGCTGTGCAGGAGGAGGAGGAGGAGGAGGAGGGGAGTGGTAATGAGGGGGTGTTGAGGAGGGTTGAAGGTATCAGAGGCATCCCTACTAGCCTGCAGGTCATGCTTTATTATAACAGGTCATTTGGTCTCTGTGCAATATTGGAAATTAAGCGTCTTATATGCATGACTGCAGTTTGGTCTATATTTAGATTCCATACCAGGGAATGCAAGTTTCTCGTAAGAAAAAGGCTTTTTCTTCGTTTCTACTGCCATTTGATTCTTTCTTGAAACTGAAGATTCCCCTTAAACATCAGAAAAAAAAACCTATATACAACCTATATAATTTTAGGTATCTTTGTGAGTTATTAGAGAGTTGCTTTATGCACAGGGAGCAAACTAGTTGGATAAAGTGAGTAAAAAAAAACCAGCGTCAGAATCAGCTGGATGTCATGTGGGTCTGAAGACACCTGCTGCTGGCTGCAGCGCTCCGCTCACTACAGGCTTCCATTTGTTTGCATAGCCCCTGCAGAGCAACCCCATTTATTCCTGTAAACCTAGAACATCAAAACAGGTACCTTTAGATGTTGTTCTCACCCTGTTCTCTCCCTCTGCTGCTGACTGCGGTGACAAATTGAGTAGATAAAGGCTCTGCTGGCAGCGAGAAGGCCACAACTTACTGCTCAGAAGCGATTAATTAGGAAGCTCCTGATTTTACTTCCTTAATGTTTTATTCCCCCTGTTATCATCTCCTCACAGTAATTTATTTTGATTTGATTATTCGCTCCGTGATCCATTTTGGATTTTAATGCAGCCGCCTGAATTCCTTTTTGCTCCTATTTCAGGTGCCAGTCTTGTGGGAGTATAGCTCCCCTGTGCAGCTTTTCTCACAGCCGGAAATCCCTTTTGAGGATTTTAAAGGTAGTAGGAAGTGTTTGATTGTCAGAGAAAAATTGGTTTGATGTCTTCATTTCAAAGATTTCTCTGTCATGTCTGTTCCCACCGGGGAGTGTGTTTATATTGAATTATTCATACACATTCTCTCTGTTTTACACAAATGATTTCAAATACCATCCCAGTGGAAATCCATCATGAACCCCACTCCCATCCCCACCCCCATGCATGTGCAAAAAAAAAGGGATGCTCAGTTACTCCTCCCCCCTCCATTCGACAAATATGACCCCACCATCCATCTATTTATCTCTCTCTGTCACATTCCCAACAGAGGCGACCCGCACAGCCCTTCAGCCTGAGTGTCATTACCGCTGACCAGCAGCCCATCTCTATCTGCCCATGATCTCCCCGACCTCCCAGAGAGGCAGCCAGCAGTATGTTTCAAGAGGAAGAGGAAGGGAGGGGGATAGATGGAAAAGTGAAAACATGAAGGGATGGATGAAGAGAAATTGAGGGTTGGGGGGGAATTAGTGAGGGTGAAATAGAAGAAGAAATGGGAGAGAGGCAAAGGCTTGAAGTGGAGGAGGAGGTGACTCACTGGGAGGGGGATTGGTCAAGAAAATGGAGGAAGAGAAAGAGAGGTGTGTGAGACTGATGCGGGGAGGAAAAGTGGGGTATCACATGGGAAGGAGGAGACCCAGAAATGGAGAGAAGAGATGCTATTTCAAGAGCGCACTCACTGATAATGTCACTCGCCTTCAAAGTGCGAGGCGTTCCTGTCGTGCTCCAGCGTGACTGTGCCTCTGGAGAATCTCCCCTCAGATCGGCTGATAAAAGGTGCCTGACAGAGGGGTGTGTTAGACTCCTGCTCTCACTCTGCGACATGCTCTAAACTCTGACAAAACACACTGAGACCTTTGCTTTCATTTTGTTTTAATCAATACGCAGCTGCTGACCTGAGGACCTGGAGGGGATTCAAAGGAGCAGTGAGACCCAGCACAGCCGAAGGATCAGGTAAAATCCAAGTCAATTAGCCATAATACTTACCATTAATCACCCCCAGGGTAGGAATTAGCACAATCTACGTGGAGAACACATCAGCAAAAGGAAAATTTGACCTGTGGAAAATGTGTCATAATTAAAAGGCCTGAGTCACTTTTCTTCGGGTTCTCCTACAACCGCTCAGTCAGACACGTCAATCAAAGACATTTCATTTACATGTCCTGATGGCTCAGACGTCCCTGAAGTCATCAATCATGCAGTGAGCAGGAGCCAAACTCATACCTGAATCCCTGAATGGCCAAGATTTCTGCAGTGGAATGAATTAAATCAGAGTTTGAAGAATGAATCATCCATCCGTTGTTAACTGACATTACTAGATTTAGTTGAACAATCTTTACAGAGATGCTTCAGACGTATTTTTTGACCTTTTATTTAATTTATTTATTCTATTCATATGGACTAAAGCATGTTGTTATCAACTGTTCACTTTTCTTGTTTGTTGAGGCGAGACACAGATGCAGACACACTTCAAAAACCTAACCATGAGTTTCTAAAGTCCATTTGAGTGCTTTATTTAGCTTGTACCAAAGATCTTAAATATTATAAACTTAATGTCAACATTAAAGCTCCTCTTGTCTCTCAAAAACTTTCAATGTGAATCCATCAATGTTTAATGCTCTGTTCCTGTCTTCAACTGTACTGCAGCAAAGTTGAAAAGATAACTTTTTTACTGCCAGTGAAACTTTATATGATTGGAACGAAATACAAACTTAATCAAAGATTTGGATCCATAAATCACTACTATTCTCTGCTGTTGTCATTGAGTCTCAAAATATGCTCTATGTTAAAGCTGCCAAAGCAGTTTCCCTCTGAATTAATTAGAGAAGTTATTTCCAAAACAACACTGTGGTTCTGTTTCCTCACACTTGCTTTGAACGCCTGCCATGGTCACGCAGCACGGTGTCACAATCAAACACATGATGAATTGTTGCTTTAAACAGAAGCGCTGCATCGTGGACCTTAAAATGCTGTTAGTGTTTGTTTTAAGTAAAATTACTGTAATTTTGTATGATTGAAAAAAAAGAAGTAAAATTTGTTTCATAGTTAAAAAACCTGCTGTTTTTTTTTTAACATGAATCCAAAACCTGCTTTAATTCTTTGCTTTATTCACAGCGGCTGAATACTTCGGCTTTACTTGTCAAACAAAATAACTTCTTTTCTCTTTCTTTCTTTTACCCTTTTCTCAGGTTTTAATAGATGGAGTGAAGACATCCTTCCTCGTGTGTCGACATCTATGCCACTGTGTGCTATGGCTTTTTATTCCTATGTGATGATGAAAAATGTTCGTGTAGGAATAGAAGCCGTTTTACACGTGGCGAGAGGGCAACATGACAGCAGCAAGAGCTCCTTTCTACCTGCTCCACTCTCCTCAGAGAGGCTAACACATGGCTGGATGAATGTAACTGTCTCCTGTTCAGTGTTTCCCTGTAGAAAAGCTGCATTTATGCTCCTCTTTCATATGATCACTGAAGTACTGATCTGAAGAGGAGAGAAAGAGGAGTCAGACTTTATTGTGAATGCACCTGTTTTCGCCTCTAGGCACGAGCAGCTTCCACTGCTCACAATGTTTGATGCATGCAGTGACAGCTGCAGTCCGCAGGGATGGAAGTTGGAACATTTGCTGGAAACTCCTCACAAAGAAAGGAAGAAAAAAAGAGCAAAACGGTTTCAGATTCAGATCTTTATTAACCATCTCTAAACAAGGCACTTAGTGAACCACTTTTCAACTTGCAAGAGGCACCGCATTTCCCTTTCTTCTCACTCTGACTCTCTTTGCTCATTATTAAAATAAAACTTTGACATAAAGCATTACACCAAATAATCCAATAATCTACCTACACTTTTATACAATATAAGATACATACAGTATAAACAAGATAAAGCACCTTTGTTGTCCTAGTAAATACTCATCATAATTAAACAGTTGGAGTTACAGACACAGATAATTGAGTTTGTGATTTGTGTGTGGTATTATCAGTGCACGGGAAGAACTCCGAATACAGGTCTTGGGACTGTGACGTCCTTGTATGCACCTGAGTTTATACAATGGAAGCTTTCCTAATCTTCTATTGGCCTACATATGAAGAACTTGGATGGTTTACACAGTATTTTTTAACATACTACAGAGAACCAGTAAAAACAGTCGGATGAATGTACTGTAATTGCTACAGATCTCATGTTCCCTTCCGAGGACATTGGCATTCACATTACAATAAAAAACAAAATTTAGCACCAGGTAATGTTTATACAAAAAGGCTAATATGATGAATGTCAATGCAGTACAGTAAAGTTAAAAAATAATAACAAAGGAATATGTAGGAAGCATGTACGGAAGGTGCACAGACAAAAGTCCAGGTCAGTTTTGATGTCGTTTTGGTCCCTTAGCAGAAAGACTGAAACTAGTAAGATCATGTTATGAATGCAAAATAAACATGCATTTCTTAAAAGAGGATATCTAACTGTATTTTCAAGTATTCTTTTTTTTCTCTCCTTAAAGTAATTGAAATATAATCTCTGAAACGGATAATATCCAAAACAAAAAGAAAAAAGCAAAAGTCCAATGATTTTCCCCCACTAGCATATTCATCTTTGACCCATAAATTCATATCTGCCATTCGTCCTCACATTTGTGTAATAAAAACACATGTACAAAGAAGACATAAAGTGACTACGTAAGTATTAAAAGATAGCGTTTCACAGAAAAGAGCTGTGCAATCTCATTCACCATAATGAATCATTTTAAACATTAATAACTGTGAAATGTACAGTCCCTTATTCACAGATCCATCCCGCCCCGCTCAGTTTATCGATTCTGACGTGTCTTTCCTCAGAGGAATCTTAAAGCTTGTGAGTTTTTGGCCAAACAGCTGGCTTAGGAGGTGGTTCTGGGACTCTGCTGTCCGATAGGAATGGCTCTCCATCGACCTAACCCCCATTTTTGGCCTGGATTTGTTTAAAGAGTTGTTCATTGAAACTGAAGTCACTTTCGAAATAGGGGGATGCAAAGGCCGCCCCTGAGGTCCCTTCTTGGCTTTGTAGTCCCCGTTTAGAGGAGACACAATGTCAGCTTTCTTACATCCATCGAGCAGGCCTCTTTTCGACTGCAGGCCCAGGTTTGAAGTCTTGCACTTGGAGAGGATTTTATTGCTGACAACATCATCCCGCACCGAGGACAGCACAGGGTAGTCGTTGGGTCCGTCCGACTTTCTTTGTAAGGAGGCGTTTGCACACTTGCTGGGGCGAAATTTCTTCTTGGCTCTCGAATCAACACCGAAGTTCTCTTGTGTTGCTGGAGAGGAAACCCTCTGCAGACTGTGAGGGGACTTGATGTCTTTCCTCTTCTTCTGTGGTCTCACAGGCTCTTTGTCCTCGTTTGAAGCGTTGGGGGAACCCTTGGGAGGGAGGATGAGAGCTGATTCCGGAGCTCTCGCGCTGCTCGTTGTGGAGCAGTTTTTAGTGTTGTCGTTCGCTTTGGCTGAGGTGACTTTGTCGTTTGTGTGACTGCTACATTCCTGCTCAGCACCTTGAGATACAGTCAGCTGTTTGCTGTCGTGGTTTGAAGCCCCCGATGTGTGGTGCTCCTCATCCCTCTGCTGCTCCATCACATTATTCACTATTTCGCTCTTTGCTGACTCGAGTGTTGATTGTGAAACGATCTGATTGTCTCGTAAGCTGAAAACATCCTCACTGTTTGGAAGTGGATCTGTTTTTTCCGTCTCAGCTGTGTTACCTTCATCAGGGCCTTCCTTAGCTTCGACTTCCTCCTCCTCCCCTGCACAACCACTCTCCTTTGTCTCCCTTCTTGACACTGACCATGACGCGGTTTCTGCTCTAATGCAGACTGATTCATCCTCCTCTTTCACATCACATGGTTCAGCGATTGATTTTCCGTTACTCTCGTCATCCTGAATAGATGAGGTGCTCGGGTCAATCTCCTCTTTCTTTGGTGAAGCAGACTCTGAAGAGCCGTTGTGGATACATTTCTCCAGCTCTACAAGCAGTTCAGAGTAGTCCTCGGCGAGGTCCTCGGTTTTCACGTTCGGACTGTTGGTGTCACTGTGGTAATCGTTGGCGATGGTCTGTGTGGAGTCATCGGCTGTGGACACAGCGGGGAGTTTTGAAGACTGTGTTTCAGAGTTTTGACTCGAGTGCAGAGAGCTCACGCTGGCGATGCCGCTGTCTGAACTGTTTTCCTGCAGACTGTCAGAGTTGATTCTCCTCTTTTTACTCGCTGGTGAATCACATTCATCGTCTTTGGACGCAGATGCTCTGACAGGCCTGAGTACGCCTCGGAATTTGAATATTTTGTTCCCGCCCGACAGGTGCTTCTCCATGTGGCGATCGAACTGCTCTTTCTTGGAGAAGGTGTAGTTACAGGTGCTGCAGATGAAGGACTTCTTAATCACATGCATGACGTCGGCACAGAGCTCACAGGTGTAGAGGGTGGTGTGTTTTGAATCCAGCTCATCCACCTCCTCGTGTGCTCTCTTTAAATGGCTTTTCAGCTCCTGAGCCTCCTGATAAGAGACGGGGCATTTGTGACACAGGAAAATCTTTTCCAAGTTGTGAACCACTAAATGTCTCTGGAGTTTAAAGGGTTTGGGGAATTGCTTTCCGCAGTGGTGGCAGTCTCTGGAGGGGTCTTTGCAGTTTGGATGCATTTCAACACTTTTCGGTGCCTCTGTTTTGTGAAGCACCTCTAGCGGGGTTAATGTGCTCTGCTTCCCGCCTGTTCCACTGCTACTTTTAGTTTTGTGAACTTTTGGCTCAGCCCCCTCAGAGGTTTTTCCTTCTCCCACAGAGCCGTCGGCTTTCTCCTGCTCTTTACTGGCTTTGCTGGACTCTCTGTTGGCTTTGCTGGGGCGCTGCTGCATGATCGAGGTGATGAAGTTCTTCACGGCTGTCTCCTGCATGAAGCAGCCTGAGATGCCTAACATGGAGCCTTGAGTCTGACCTCTACGTGCAAATTGAGTGGCGTGCTCGCGCAAATGTTCGTTGTACATCCACACATCCGATATCTCCTTCAAACACATTCCACAGGTCCAGATACCCGTCTTATTCTTGGCGTGTTTCTCTCTCAGATGGTCTCTCAGTTGCTCTCTGGAGCTGAACTTCCGCTGGACGCACATGTAGCAGGTTGGAGGTGGCGAGGGGTTGTGGGAGAGTTTGTGAAAGTTGAGCTCGCCTAGAGTGAGGAACCAAGTGAAGCAGACTTTGCACTTGTACTGCTTATCTTTCACTTTCATTCTCCCGTCTTGCCGTTTCTTGCCTTGCCGCTCCGTCTCTTTGTTTGATTTTTCTTCTTCTCTGTTCTCCATGTCCACGTTCGCACCAGGTGGAGCCACTGCGATGTCTTTGTTATGGTCAAAGAACTGGATCTCAGGGAGCTGAAATGTCGTGTTGATGTTTTGGATATCAATGCTGTTAAAGCTTTGGATATTTTCTGTGACACACGGCTCTGTAGCGTAAGCGGCGGAGGGCAGGGGCAGAGGGCAGGCAGCAGGTGGCAGCTCCGGGTTACAGGTGCTGGAACTGGAGGTCACTGCTGAGGCTGCATCAAAGCTACTGAAGTCACCGGAGCCGCTCCACTCGATGGAAGATTTATCGATGGTGCTCTCGAGAGGGTTCAAGAAGCCGTCCCCAAACTCTTTAGTATTCTCACAGACATCCTGCTGATCACTTTGTTGAGTATCAGATAATGGCTTGTCTTGGGGATTCACTGTGTTGTTGTTGTGACACACGTTCAACACGACAGCGTCATCTGGGGGTGTTTCCTGATAATCGCAGCTCTTCGTCTGACCGTCAGGGAACGCTGGTTTGACTTGGTTTCCCATGAGTTCATCTTTATCTTGCATGAAAGTTTCCGAAGGAGGATAGTTTGGAGTCACAATCGAATCAGGAGATAGCTTTAGCTTTTTGTTTTTTTTGCCGTACACCCTCGGGCACTTCTTCCTCTTCGCCTCCTCGTCCCGGGGGAACAGCTGCGAGAAAGTGGTGTCATCGTCGAGCAGGGCCTTCAGATCGGGGCTCAAGCTGGGAGGACTGAGAGGCGAAGGATTCAAACAGGAGCGAGGATGCGCCTCGTCTGAAGGGCCGCTGTTATTCTCACATTTTATCTCGACTGTCACTTTGCTGAGAATCTCTTGGGCAAGGTTCTCTTCTGATCTGGTCTGCTCACGCGTTTCTTCCACGGGGCGCAGAGCCAATCTGGACTCATCACATTCTCTGATTGCATCCCCGTCTGCAGATATAGCATGTTCCACTATTTTATCTGCATTCACTCCCCCATTAGCCATCTCTGTTATGCTTGCAGATTCTCTTTCCTGTGTGTCATTAAGCTCCACGGCTTCATTAAGTCCACGAAGTCCTCCTTTTGGAGACTGTGGCGTCTTGTCCGAGCTACAGTTCAAAGACATGTGATGAGGGAATGTCTCCGCTCCAGCTCCGTCGCTGATTTCCACCTCTCCTTCAGCAGATTTATGTGACTCTGACAGTCCGTTGCTTTTGAATTCAGGAGTTATAGCTTGAAGGATGTCTGTTTTTAATATATTCAAAAGCTCATCAGAGAAAGGCTCCGGCTTCATGTTTGCCTCGCTTTTTTTGCTCTTCCTCGTCGCCTTGTTGTTCTTCTTCGCTTTGGTTGACAGCGGAGGGTTTGAATGACCCGTTTCATCCGCGGCCACCGCGCTCGTCTCAGATGTCATTTCCTCCAGGACTGACTCAGACTCTGCTGATTTAGATATGGAAGCGCTTGTTGTCTCAGGCAGCCCATCTATTTTTGTTGGGCAGCAGGTCTGTGTATCATCTTTATGTCCTTTCTCTGTAGTTTGCAATGCGTCATAAATAAGCATAGTCCCTTGGCGGCTCGATGTTGTGCTCTGCGGACCGATGTGTTTTTCAGTCTTCACCAAATGTTTCATGGCCTTATGTCTCTTTAACCCCGGCACCGTCCTGAAACACATGAGGCAGATTTCACACAGCACTTTCCCCTGTTGAGTGTTGTTCTGTGTCTTCTTGTGTGTTGTGTCTTTGGATACTTGATGAGTTGTTGAACACTGGCCACTCTCTATTATTGGGGGCTCTGTTGCTGGAGGCATTTGTTCATTTTCACAGCTGATGAGTGGCTGAGGAGTGGGCGGACCATCTGAAATATCTTTCCTCATGAGTGAACTGTCCTCGGCAGAAGCCACGAGCGAATCCAAAGTCTCTGCCTCGACCTTTTTCAGCATGTCAGCGTGAGCGTACAGGTGCTCGGGGAGGACGAGCGCAGATCCGGGTGAGGCGTCTTTGATTTTGATTTCAGGTGTGAGGTCCAAAGAGAAGCAGGTGAACTTCAAACTCTGCTGGAGGACCAGTGGTTCATCTGATAACGTCAGTTTAGCAGCAGGGTCTGAGCTCAGCGATGCAGCAGCTGTATCTGCGTCTGCCTCACTTTTGTTAAAAATCAGTGCGGGGTCGACGCTCAGGTCACATGGTTTGCAGTCATCCCTGGGACTCTGTTTGATGTCTGGGTTCTCCTCGAGTTTACTGGCCGGTGAAATGGTGATGTAGTTGTATTGATTCAGAGGTGGAGGCTCCTCTGTGATGCTGCTGTAGTTGAGGGGGCTGAGCTTAAAATCATAAATGAGGCCGCTCTTCTCAAGCTCGTCTGACACACCGGGCGGTTCTGCTGATCTGGTCGCCGGCAGTGGGGAGGTAATGGGGGCTTCAGAGCTTTGGATTTTACACTCTGTGATCCCCATATCCAGGGGAGGTGGGCTTATCAAAGAATACTCCATCTCAGCTGTCGTGTTTAACTGTTCATCACTGTTCGGCCCCTCTTTGTCACCGTCTTTGCTGGATGGGGATTTCATATTTTCAGCCGAGTCTTGGTTGATGGACATATTATCAATATTGCTTTGTGAGTGGCATGAATCCACCTCTATGAACCACTTCTGCATGGTTTTCTGATCAGAAGTTGATAAAAGAGGACTGGCTGGTGGTGCAGTGTGAACAAAAACACAGCCGCTCTCGTCGACCTCCTCTCTGCACGGGGAGTTTTGGTGACTTGCCATGAAATCGATAGGAAGATGTTCTTTAATATCCTGAACATTTAAAAGCTCTTCTTGTTTCTGGATGGTCTCAAAGGGAAGAGCGGGTCCAGTTTTGAGTGAGTCATTCAGCGGAGTGAACTTGCAGGAGTCACCGTCAATAACGTCACCAGCCTGTAAAAGAGCTGGCTGGTTCTTTTGTCCCTCTGCAGAGCAAGTCTCTTGGAAAGCTAAGCAGTGACTGGTGCTCTGTGTGTTGGTTTCCACCAGGATTGGACTGCACGGCTTGTCTGAAGTGATTATCTCCACTGACATGTCAGTCGTTGGACTCTGAGTCTTAGCAGGGCTGCAGCTTTTAGAGGGAGACGGCTCCATCGAGCGATGATTTTCTGACGTCTGAACAGCTATTTTCTCAATAACGCTGTCCGAGCACTCGACCTTTGATTCACCAGCACTTGTTGAACCATCTTCAGGATTGTTAGCGAGTCGTTCATCAAGTGAAGGTTTTTGGATGTTCTCGTCGCAGTCTAAACTGATGCCAGGAAAAGCTGGTGATAAAACACGGCTCACAGATTGACCCGTGATCCCTTTCACCGCCTCTGCGACCTCGTAGGCATCCGTGGTCGACTGCTCATTTCTGTTTTTGAATAACTGTTTCACTTTGTCAGGTACATTACAGTTCCCGCCAGACCCCTCAGCCACTTGAGGGTCAAGCGTCAGCACACTTAAGCATTGAGCAGACTCAATTAAAGTCCTATTTTCGACGATATCCCCCTCTGATGGGACTTGAGTCTCTTCTTGGCTTTTATTGTTTTCTGTGGGCCCCACTGGCTGTGATGAAATTGGCTGGTCTCCATCGACTGTGGGGTCAGTGCTGTTGGAGAGAGACGGCTGTGACTCATTCAGAATGAATTTAATATCATCCTTCCGCTCATTGATATTTGGAGGTGATAATGTATTCTCCTTCCCAGTAATTGCTTCCTTTTCACTGCCCTCTTCTCCCTCAACTGCATCAGTTTCCTGACATTCAATTTCTTGATGTTGTTGACTTGTGAGAGAGGTGACATTCGGCTCCTTGTCTTCTGATATAATGGGTTCTTTTTTGAATATAGAGTCTGAAATCACCTCCAGGCTTTTCATGAGGTTTTCTGTGTATCTCTTCTGCTCTAAGATTTCCTCCTTTGTTTCTCCGTCGCTCTTTTTTTCAGCTTTTCGCTCCTCGGGTTTCTGGTCACGTCTGAGATGTTGATGAACACTTTGTGAGGCTGTTGCGATCATATTTGTTGCATCGTGTCCTTTTTCACTGAAATGTTCGAGCGCCCCCGGTTCATTGTGAATTGAATTGTGGGGACTGTTGTGTCCGCCCATTAGCTCGAACTGGAATGGGCTGGCCCACGGTTCAGTAAAAGGCTCCGAGGGCAGACTGGTCACTTGCACACCTATTGTTTGCACAGGGCACCTCATCTCCAGCCCGGTGCTATCGCTCCCTGACTCATCGTCGAGTCGTAAAGGTGAAAACTTGCTCATCTGGAGCTGCTTGGGGACATCCTGTGCTAGCATCGGTGGGCTCTCCAGCTTGGTTGTCTGCAGCTGGTTTTCAAGCTCGTTCACTATTCTTTTTATCTCCAGCTCATCCTCGGAGGCACAGCTGTTGAGATTTGCACCATAGTCAATTATTTTTTCTGGCAGAGACAAAGGAACGTGATTGTAATCTGCTTTCTTTTCATTTGATTTCTCAGAGTTGCTTTTGTACTGAGATATCTCATCTGGTAGCACAGGGCTCACGATGAGGCTCCAGTCTCTTTGTTCCAGAAAGGGGGAGAACGATGACACAAACTCCTCCTTTTTATCGGCGCTCTCCATCGAATGGAAACTTTCTTTCTGAATGGGCATATCTGAATAGAGGCCGCTGTCGAATCCTGTGAGGTCCCCGAACATTGAGGATGTGTCAAAAGAAAGTGGGGATTTCATCAGCCCCTGTTCCTGATCCATGGGGTAGGGCATGAGGTGGAGTGTATCCTTCTGAATCAGCGGGCCTTGGCCTTCAGTTGGAGATAGGCAAACGTCATCCATCAAAGAGGCGCAGAGAGCTGCGGGCTTGTGTGTCTCCAGCTTGTTGACGGAGTTGATTCCCTCTTTCACTTCACACACGCTGTCGCTCGGTTTTCCAAATGTAGCGCGAGATAGTTCGGACTCTGCAGCCTCTCCCCTTTTTGCCCTCGTCTTTCTTTCAGAGTCGAATTCACTTTCTCTGTTGATGTTGGGAGTGTTTGAATCCAGCTGTAACGACTTTTTATCGGAGCCTCTGCACTCAGAATGCTCGACTTTAGGGCTCAGACTGTGTGTCCGCTGTGTTGTGTCTTTATCTGAGCCGATTCTCGCGCCCGCTTCTTTCCTGCTCGACTCCAGCTTCTCCCTCGGTTTCGTTTTGCTGCTCTTTTCCAGGTTTTTGACAGTCTCTTTTGCTTTCTGCGGGGATGACGCTCGATCAGCGCACTCTGGGTTTAAATGGTACTTCTTGGGAGGGTCTGCGCTCTCTTTGCTTTCACATGAACTCGCTTTGTCACAATGGTACTTCCTGACAGATTTAGTGAGGGTCAGTGCAAGTGTGCTGGACTCTTTGGATGACTTCTGTGGGGAGGATCTTTCATAGGTTTTCTGCTCTGGAGACTCTTTCTTTTTGAAGTCTGTCTTCTTCTCACAGTCTGAGTCAGTGCGGTCAGTGCTTTTGGGGCTGTTGATACAATCGCTTGAAACGCTCACAGATGTGCTGAGTTCGCTGCTTGTGGATGACCTGCTACCCCTCCTCCTGAGTCTCTGGTGGGAACCGTGTTTCTCAGGCGAGAGAGAAACCTCCTCACTCTTTTTCACTTCAAAACACTCTTTAGACTCGTGTCTCCACGCCGCCTGGTCCCTCTCACTCCTCGCTCGCCATTTGCACTCTTTAGTGTACGTGTATTTACACCGGCTGCTTTGATTCAATCGCCCTTGGCTTGCTATCTTCACAGGCTCACATTCATCATCCGTGTCTGAGACGTAGTCGTACTCTCCGAACGCCGGGTTCTGCACAGTGGGAGTCAGTCTCTCCATCACTAAGGAAAACTGGAGGTTTTTGGTACCTTTCACATGAAGCTTATGGAGCTTATTTTTCTGCTGAACTATTTTGTGAATAAGTTCTTTGCTCCAGGTGCCCCCTCCAGAGCTTTTCCTCTTGCTCTCCTTCACTGCAGTTCTTGAGGTTGGAGATGTGGAGGGCTGCGAGGTTGTTGACCCTCGCAGAGCAGAGCTTTCCTGAATGCTTTTGACGCCGCAGCGCTCAGAAAACTTGCTGGATAAGAGAAACCTTTGTGTACTCGTGTTCTCTTCCTCACCCTTGCACAGTTTCCTTGCCTCTTTCACTTTGCTGTCTTGTTCCCTCATCTTCTCCCTCGAGGCGGCTCTTGAATTTTTATGAGAGACTTCCTTTTTGATGTTGATTTTCTCGTCTTTTTCTAAATTCAGAGTTATTTTCTCAAGTTTGCTTTCGGTGTAGTGTTTATCCGTCTCGGTGCTCTCAGCATCAGAGTCAGAGAAATACTTTCCTTGCGTGAAAGACCTGGCGTCATCTGCTGCTGTCTGTTTATTTTTGCTCTCATAGACTAGGGATTCCTTCGTTTTCAGACACTGTTTGTTTGATGTCGCTTTAACGGTGGTGAGCTCGTCATCAACAAACGCGTCGATGAAGCTGCTGTCAATCTCGGCGTTGTCTGACTGGTATCCATTCAGGGCTTCTGTGATTAGACTGTCCAATTTGGCGTCCTCCATTTCCAGCTCAGGGAGGGGGGCAGGCAGGTTACCAGGACCGGGGAACAAATTTAGTTTCATCGGATCATCCTTCGTTTCTCCTTTCGTTTCACTCTCAGATATCAGCTCGCCGTTTTTATTCAGGCCCAGCAGAGACAGGTGGAGGTCAGACGGGCACCTGGACATGGAAACATTCGACATAGACGACACAGCTTTTGTTGTTTCCACGTGAAACTTCCTGCCGTCCTCCATCTTCGATATGTCTTTCAGGTCGTTTTGTGCAAACGTATGATGAGCGCAGTATTGCTTATGGCCGAGAAATGACGCCAGGTTGTTGAAGTTCTGATCGCACTGCTTGCACGTTAGGAGCACATCCAGCTGGTCAAGATTCGCTGCGGCTAATGAGGTTGCTAACAGCTGGTGTGCAGAGTACGGAGGTGGAGGCTGGTGATGCTCTACCCCAAAACTGTCCATGTAACCCTTGTTCCCGTCCATGGGGGTCTTCGGATGTGCACTGTTCTGTAGGTAGCTCATCATGTTGTCTTTGGCTCTGTCCTGTGCATAAGGAAGGTTTCGTGGGGGGTCTGAGTGAAACTGGTGAGGGTGACAGCTCATGTGGTCGGAGGGTAACTGTGTTTTGGCTTGGGACTGATGATAAAAGGAGTGAGGGGTTGCTGACTTTGACATTTGACTGTCTTCTGAGCTGATGTTGACAGGACTGGTGGATGCAGGTGAGAGGGAGGAGCAGGTGCTACTTGACGCAGGGTTGTGAACCGGTGAGGGCAAAGGGGATTCATAGGGGGACACCATCATGAGCCCCATGGATGGGACCTGCAATGGAGGGTAATTGTAGTTCCTGGAGGATGCTGCCGGATGAGACTGGTTCAGTCCGAAATACACCGCCTTTTTGGACTCGCAGACTTGTGCGTGGCTCATCTCCACTTTAAACGTGGAGACGGCGTTGCTGCTGTGTTTTACACTCTCCTGTCTTTTGTTTGAAAACCCATCACTAGTTCTGCTGTTCAGAAAAGAGCTGGTGTTTTTCAGGGAGTTATGTTTGTGCGATTTATTCTCATCCTGCCAGTCCGAGGGGGAAACCATGTAAGACATTTTTTGGCTGCTTATCTGTCTTGATAACTCGACTCTGTTTTGGCTTGCAATGGCAGCGTTGGGCCGTATCTGCTGCCAGGGCATTCTGCTATTTTTGGAGGGATTTTGCCTTTGGTCAAGCTGCTGGTTCTGAAACTGAAACTTGTCATTCAAATCATTATACTGAAGTGTGTTTTGGTCAGCTGCTGAGTACGTCTTGTTCGGCCCCTCCCACGAGTGAGGTAGCCTGTTAAGAACCTTATTATTGATGTTTTTGTCGAAGGGTATTGAGCCTGTGTGAATGCCACTGACTGGAGGGTTGTTAAATGATTTGCTAGAAAAGTGCATTTGGGATGGGGGACCTTGTAAATTATTCCTGGCATGGTGCACATTTCCTTGGACGAGTGTTCTTTGGCTGGCAGCTGTGTCTTTAGAGTGACAGTTCCTCTTACTCCCAGAGGTAATGGCTGCCTGTCCGATAGCCTCTGCGCTCTCAGGTAAGGCAGTCTTCCCCTGCTCTGACTGCTGCGAGCTGGAGCCGGAGCTGTCACTGCTGGCTGAATCCTCACTAAGATTTCTGGGACACTGTATGGCGGATGCTACCCCTTGAATGAACTGAGACTGCGGGGGTTGAGGATAAGAGTTTCTATCCTCTGACTGCTGTTCGTTAATGAACTGAGAGCTGTTCGGAGCGATGCTTTGCCCATCTCCAGGCGGGAAAGAAAACGAGTTGTGGCTCACATGAACTCCGAGGGAAGAGTCTGTAAAGTCTTGAGATTGGGGGTTCTGTTCACATGGGAAAGAGTCAGAGGTTGATTCTTCCAGGAAGTGATATCCGTATTGGAAAGGAGCAGGCACAAAGGCACTTGTCTTATTAGCTTCTGTAAGGGCAGTGGATTTTTGGGATGATACCCCATAGTTAGCACCATTAAAAGTCCTTTCGGGAGACTGCCACGTGTTAGTGCCACCCAGCTGAAAGTCAGCCAGAATCAGCTGACTGCCGGGCTGTGCGCCGTTGCCCTCCATTGATGCAGCCTGCTGCTGTTGTGACAAAGGTGGATGTGGGTGGGATGCCGTTCCACTTGAGGAACCCAGTGCCTGTGAGGTATAGCTTGGAGAGGTGAGGTTAGAGGGGGATTCCTGGAAGCACCGGTTATAGTTGAGCTCTTCTTGCTGTAGTTCGGCCTCCCTCTCTGGTATACTGGGAACGTGGAATCTGTAGCTGCCCGAGACTGGGACACGACTGGTGTCCAATTTCTTGGGTGGCAAAACCTTCTGTTGTGGGTAGGCAATCCCAATGTTGGGGTTGGAGCGTGGATTCGTAATGCTCAGTCTGTACAGCTGCTGGGGGTTGCCACGTTCTGTTTTTCCCGACCTCTTTCCTTTCTCTCGGCTGCGCCCCTTTCCGCTGGGTGACTGGGGGCTGCCTTTACCACTTGACCAAGTCCTGTCAGAGGAAAACTTTGATCTGTTCTGAAGTGACCTGAAGTCAATCTTTCCTGCCTGCTGTGGCCGTATGACAGCTTCACGCTGCTGAGGACAGTCCCTCTGCTTCTCTATTTTTTCAACTTTGGCCTCACTGCTGCTGGCTCTGGCTTCAGTGCCTGTGCTTGCAAAGTGCTCTGAAGACTCCTTTGTGGTTTTGTCACTCTGCTGTTCCAGCGCCGTCCCCACATCCTGCAGTTTGGACTCCGTGTCCAGCTCTTTGACAGCATGCAATTGCTGAGTCTCTCCTGCCATGGTGCACAATGCGTGCTGTGAAGGCCTTGTCCTCAGAAGTGCTATCTGGGAGACAGGGGCATCGTCTTCAGGGAGGATGAATCAGTAAACGTCCAGTGGCAGGAGCTGCAGGGACAGGGCTGCTCGCCGCAGGCTCATCTCTTCACTTTCATTGTGAGCTGGCACCAGAACAAACACACCTGTCAGAGGAAGAGAAAAGAGAGGATCAGATGTTGCGCTTTTGTTGTTTGGTGTTTAAAATGATCTGCTCTTTGAAAGCAAATCTATAAATGCTCTTCAAACAGACCAGTGAACCACAGTACAACTCTATAAATCACCTTAAAACATCATCAATGAAATAATTAATCATGCTTTTCATCTTTTTAGCCTATATTAACATTAATCATTTAAGAATAGAGCTATGAAAAGGTACGTTCAGAGGATATTTATGAAATCATGCGTCACACACTATGTTCCTAGTTTCTGCCAGCAGAGAGCGCTGGTGCAGCATTTCACAGTGGCGCTGTCATTGTACAAAGAACCCCTGTAATCAATATGGAGTTGGACAACACTGCCAAACTCAGACTCACAAGTTTAAAAAAATACTTCTTCATTACACACAACAATAAAAAGACACTTCAAACAAATAAATGGAGTTAAATTCAAGTTTTGGATCCCCACAAAAAAAACAAAAAACAAATGACGGAGGAATTGATGGCTAAACAAATATCCCAGTCAAATCCTGGACATGAACAGTCCCACAGGAAACCAGTTTGGTGAGGCTTGTAACGGCACTAAGAATGAGAAAAATATCGTTCGTGGATCCAAAAGGCCCTGCCAGTAAATGAATCACAGACTTTTTAAGAGCAGGGACACAATGCCACAGTGTTCTTTTGCTACACGGGGCTGCAGGTTTAGATCATGGAGGAATATCAGGGATTAGTCAGTCAGCTATTAGACAGTGAGAACTGTGGGCACACTGACGTTTGCTGCCTTTCCGCAGGCATCCTAGACACTCTTTCAAAGGTCCCAGTTTACTTTGGCCTTCCGCTGCCTCTGCTCCTCTTTCCAGGTTAGAGCAGATGAGACGAGCACCAAAAATGTAATCTCCCAGCCGGAAAACATCCAACCTAACTTTGTTTCTCCTTTCACTGGTGATGACTAAAGCCACTGCTCCAGGCCTGTGATTGGGTCACCATACTCTCTGGTAGAGAGTCTTTGAGGAGGACACATTCCCAAAATTTTAGGAGGGCTGTTCGTTTTTTTCTCAGTTCACCTAGTAGGAGAAGCTTGAAGCCGTTGTCTGATGGGATCTATGGATCTTACTGTGGGAACAAAGTTTTCTTTAGAAAACAACATTTCATATACCTTATTTTGCTGTCTTTGCAACAAATCTGGATCTTCTCTGATCATTTCTGCACAGAAGTTTGATATCAAACGATGAACTCAATGACCTTACAACAGTGTTAAAAATCAGAAAAAATAATCCCAGGCTGTCCTGCTGCATTCAGCATGAAACTTGGTAAAAAATAACCAGAGCAACTACAGATATGATAAAACACATTCCTTCCCCTGACCCTGTAACTCTAACAATAACCCTGCTCTGTAGGAAGGCCTTAATCACCTCCTTGTGGGAAGTTGTGTGAACTGTTTTCCAGTTTAACATAGAGCACATCCTAAGAGGAGAGGATTGAGGATGCTTTATGTGTCCCTGCTGCATACGTGCTGTCTAAAAGGCTGAATTTATTCAATGTTTAAAATTAAGGCCCTCTTACCGAGGAGTAAGATGAGATTGGATCTGCAGAGACCTGATAAAATGGCTTGAGTCTGGAGGGCCTATTTATGTATGCTGACTACTGGCTGTGGTCCAGGTGCTGTCTGTCTGACAAATAGAAAAGCGAGATATGACTCCACACTTTTACCTGGAGGAATTACTCTGCCGTGTATTTCCTTGTCGCATCCTCTGCTAAACCTCTCAGAGGTATTTAGCAGGTTGGAAGGGATGCTTGAGGCTGAGACCTGGCTGAGTTTAGGCCTAGTTGTGAAAAATCACATCCACTCTACAGCTCCAGAGAACCTGAAAGCCGGAGTGTCTGTAGCTATCTCTGCCACCGGCTGGAGACTCGCCCTGCCAGTATCTTCACCGGGAAGTTCTTGATCCAGCTCTACAGAGTCAACAGTCGCAATCATACATCATAGACCCGATTGTGTTTGCCCAGACCAGCCGGTGAGGTTTGAAGCCGTGGATGAATGCCTCCAGCAGCTAGACAAGCAGTATGAGGATCGCACGGGCCTTACAGAAGTAGCACCAAAGCCTCAGCTGTCAGTTTACAAAGAGGAAAGGCTCATTTATATCCTAACAAATGCCTGGTCCACTTCCCCTTCAGCCCTCAGCTGCTCAATAACTCTTCCTCTGCCCCAACCTCCTCCACACGGGCCAGAATAACTGCACACGCAGATTTTATGAATATCAATCTGCCAATTTGGTGGCGTCTTTGGTTCGGCTTGTTCGGTTTTATCTTTCAAAGTATAAATTGCACTTGGACTGCACATAAAGACAGTTTGGTGGTGACAGAATTGCAAGCTGGGCACAAGTTGGTATCAAATCCTGTGTGACTGGTCTAAAATTTGTTCTATAAAAGTGCGTTTTAGTGGAGTTTTACAAGTCAATTAAGGCAGCATGTGTGTGTATATGTGTGTGTGTGTTTGTGTGCGTGTGTATTCTTTAAGCCTCCTGTCAAATCACTAAGTTTCTCATGCACTGGCGCCCCATATAGCTCCACCACAACACCACCCTGATGCCTGAGACTGCTGAGTGTGGAAGAACTGGTGTGTTTGTGGTGTAGGTGCATGTGTGTGGAATACCTAACTAGACTGAAGAAACTAGGTATTCATTATTTAAAAGGGCATGTTTTGGTTTCACTCACAGTTGGGAAAGTGGGTAAAGGTGCTTGAATGAAACTCAATTTCCTGAAAGTCTTTTTCCTGTCATTTTGGAGCAGGATGTATGTGGTGTTGGTCTGAGTGAAAATATGCTGGTAGCGCCGTGAAAATCTCCATCCACTCATCAAGGGTGACTTAAGCCTCTAAACGCTTTCGCAATTTCTTGCTTTCCAAGATGCCGTAGCCTTCATAAGCCCCATATCTCTCAAAGTCAGTTAACTTGATAGACTACAGGCTCAGCCCCGCTTTCTTCTGCGCTATTCAACATATCTGCTGATGTGTGTTCTGTAACAGGAGAGCACCCAAAAGTGGCTCAAAGAAATGGTAAAAGCAGACCACGGCTAGGAAGTGCGATCTTTGACAGTGCAGCGATTTAACACTTGTGAAATATACCGCACAAAACATTCAGGAGCAGGACGATGACTCTCCAGAGACGCAAAGCTTCACCAGAGCCAAGAGAAGGGCAGCAGCAGGCCGAGCAGTCCGCTCTCGCAAACAATGACTCCCTTTATTATAATGTAGATCAATAACTGGCATTAGCAGGAATTTCCCGACTTCTTCAGTTTTTCCAGATGCTTTTTCACTGAAATATCACCACACAGTTGTCTCAAAGATCACTGACATAGAGAGAGAAGACAGATGAAGATGCGGGGTGATGAGATCAGAGGAGAGGAGAGGAGGAAAAATGATCTGAACAAAGAGTAGCAGGGAAGGCCATTAAAGAGGGGGGAGAATCATACAGAAGGATGAGTGTCAGGACCTGGAGGAGTGATGTCCAGAACCCCAGTGGGTTGTGTAATCAGAAGGATGTAGGGGGCAGAGGATCAGGTGGCAGAGTAAGAGCCGTCTGACTGCTTTCCTCACACCTCTCCCAGCATGACTGGTCCGGCAGAGGGAATGCACAGCGAAAGCGGCTGGCTCAGTCCCATGCTGAGGGCGAGCCGCCAAAACCTCGGTCAGCGTGCCTGCCTACTCCTCTGTATTTTTGGAAACATCCATTATGCAAGCAATTTGCCTTTAAGATCTCTGCGTCCGTTCAAAGGCGCATGAGGAGGAGAGATATGTCAGCAATGTGAGGAGGGACCGGCATATTTTCACAACTCCACCACCGCACACTTAATAACACCAGAGAGCTCTGGATACGGACGTGTGAACAGTAGTGACCTGTCAGTGGTTTACAATCTTAATTTCTCCATTTATGATTTACAGAGAAATTAATGAGTAATTTGCTCTCCTCTGTAATAGTGACAGTTTCTGAGAGGAGTGCAGAGGAGTGTTTAAAATAGAAACCAACGTTCATATAAAACCCTGAGCACAGTACTGAAGGAGGCTTGTTACACTCGTGCCTCCCTACCTCCACCATCCCCTCACCCCGCCCTTTACCCAGTGTGGTTAGCTGCACAGTAGGGAAGATGGAAGGAGTGTATGTGTGTGGTGTGTCTGAGTGTCTCTGGATGTGTCTGTGTGTATGAGTGTGTGTGTGTGTGTGTGTGAGGGGGGAGGGGGGTTGTGGTGGTGTGTAATTCCAGAGGCTCCCCAAACCCCCCTCCCAAGTTTTTCCTCTTTCTCAGACGACTTTTTTTCTGTATTTATTTTTTTTCTAACCGCTGGATTCTGGACTCCGTCTGTTTCCATATTGCTAACCACGGCATTCCACAAACATGATGGAATCTCTGTTCTCGAGTGTTTAAAGGTTATTTTTTCCTCTTTGACACAATTTCCCTTATTCCTGCAGGTCAACGGAACATTACTTGTGTGGCTTTTGCACAAAATAAGGTTAAGTGTGTGATACAGTGAAAAATGACTGAGTAGAACAGGATATTACTGAAAGGTCAAATCGTAGACAGAATTTCCTGCGTCCTAGTTATAACCAGGATAACCTAATCTTTAATGGACAAAACCCCTCTCTCGGGTTTTATTCCCCCTTCATTCCCTTTTTTTTCCCAGTGTATCAATATTTGCTTGTCTCTTATTAGGCTTGGGCTAAAGTATTTGGTAGCCACTCAAAACCAGCAAAGTTTTATTAAAAGTAAAAGACACTTTGAGATGGAATGGGGCAAGGATTCAGTAAGGACAGCCCTCCCTGACCCCAGACTCAATTATCCGGGTAGTGTCTGAGATTACACACTCTTAACGTTTAGAGATTTAACCAGGAGACGGTTTATGCACGGACTAAAACGTTTGCCACATAAAAAGCAAACCCAGCGACAAATATAGAGGTATTTGTAATGTAAGAGATACTTGATTAAATTTTCTTCTCCAAACCAAGCAGTCCCTCAGCGGCATCCTAAACGCTCAGTAATCAAACAAAACAAAGGTGACTCGCAGGAGTGGCATCCGACGGAAAATACTGAAAGTGGATGTGGTGCGTGGACCCCCCACACGCATAAACAAGAGGTTAAGGCTGAAATACAGCAGCCCTCTTTTCAACTCTTTCTGCTGCACGCTCAAGGAAATCATAAATCTTTGATTTTTTTTACCTGCTCCAACATGATAAGTGAACCAGCAAAGAGCAACAGACGAGGAAAAGAGCTCAGAACTATTCACACACTGGGATTCAGGTTTTCCAGATATCAGGTATTCAAGAGTTAAAGTCTTTTACTCATCCCAACAAAACCTGCAAATGTGACGACTGTTGGTCCAGAGATTCATCTAGTGTTTTCAATTACAAACTCGAGTGCAAACCTGAAGGCAGCTCATGCACATTCAGACAGAAGCTACAACAGCATGATACTGGAGATTAACTTTGTTGGCATCCAACAGATTGACACTTTTACCGTTGAGCAGATTTCAAGTTAAGCAGTATCTCTGAACAGTCTTCAATGAGCTCGACATATTACAGAGGAAGCCTTTATTTTCCCAGGAACTGCATGTTTAGCTCCATTAACATTCACATATCCTCTCACTACCTCAAGGAGGCCAGAGGCGGTGAGAGGAGTCTGGGCACACTACCACATAGGTGAAAGTCCAGAGCAGACCGGGCCTGCAGAGGCAGAGTTACAACCTAAGTGTCAGTGGCCTCAGGGGACTCAGCCTCCTCTAAGTGACCCGTCACCCTCCCTCCCATGAATCAATGAGCAAACTCACCTAAGACAAGCATGCACAGGCAGGCACAGGCTGTAGATAACTGCGTCCTCATGTCACTAGCACCACGTGTTTAAATGGAAACTCCTTCATCTTCATACGTAATGCAGACACGGCAAAAACAACAATTAAGCTGACATATGGTATTTTTTGTGGAGAATGAATCGGTGTCCTGTGTCACTAAAGATTGGAAATGGTTTTAACATTTGGCATAAACTTGGTTCTTCACCGTTAGGGCTAATGCTTTGAGCAGCCAGGAAATTCTATATTCTTCTGCAAAAGAAGCAAACGCAAACCCACCAGCATCTGGAATTTGAAGCATTTCATGTGTCCTTGTGACATAAATAAGTTACAAGTACATCACAGATGAAGTTTAATCTTGTTAAAATAAACGTGACATCTTGGTTTGATGTGTTTCTCTTGTGCACAGCTGGGACTGGGAGCCCGAGGCTGATTGGCCTCCACGCTTTCACTCTTTGCTTAACATTTTTTATGACAGACACATAAGGAAAAGAGGGATCGCCGTTTGAAGTGACATTTGGGAAGAATTATTTCAAAGTGTGACTGGAGCTGAGAGAAAGTGGAAGATATCCATCTGAGGACGTCAGGACTGAGTTTGTTTGGTTTAAACCCCAGCACACCTGCAGGCCACACTCGTAACCTTTCACCTTCAGGTAAGACCTTTGCTTGTAAGACTTTAGTCTGAGCTTTTCTGTGTTTGTATCTCCAGACGAGAGGACAGGCAGTCAAGTTTCAACATGTGACTATGAAAGGGGTTTTCCTCAAACCTTGAGAGAGTAAGCTACGTAAATGCACCACATCATCATCGATGCCAAATGAAACAGGCTAAATCTCAAGAAATACAGTTTCTCTGCGAGACTTCAGAACCGGCGGATACACAAAAGCAGTGTTTGTGAATGAACCTTTGGTCTAAGTTCATGTTTGCAATTAGGAAAGAAGGAGAGCGTTTCAGGTTTTACACGAATGCACCAAGTGCGTGTGAGGAGATGTGAACACTCAATTGGGTATAATTGTATATATGTGCGTCTCTGGGACTGTGGGTGTGCTGTACTTAAGTGTGCAAGTGCTTTCATGTATAATTCCAGTATACATTGTGTGAATGACATGCAGTTTGTTAGACAGGTTTTTATAGAGCAGTGGGTATAATGTTACTTTCTAAGCCCCAGTGGATGGATAAAAGCGGTTCAGTCAAATTTAACGCTGTCTTGCTGGGGTCACAGACTGGCACACAGGCATTAAATCAAAGTGGGAGCAAACTTTTGACAGGCTGTGATTCATTTTCTGTAAACTTGGCACCAGGTTATGTGTGATTTAGAAACAGCTCATAAATAAAACCAAGCTGGTGGTCTGGGAAGAATAGGGCCTGAAAGTCATCATGACAAAACATCCCCTTTTTAAAGCTGCTCTAAACCACAGCGCTGGAGGTATCTCACTGTTCTCCACTGAGATCCTTCATTAGCTCTGTCTGTCTCGCTGTCCTTCTTTCCTCTATCTCCACAGGACAGAAAATCCCTCCAGTTTGGTATTAAGGCACAAGAACAGAGGGTCAGGTGGGCGCATGACTGACAGTCACAGCTTAAAGCATGAGCTGGGTTATTTGGAGTTGAGTGGTTTCATTCATAAGCTCTTTTCCTGTAAGTATGATGATAGGACCGTGGAAAAGGCAGCAAAGGAAAAACATAGAGTGATTTTTTTTCTCCTCTGTTTGAAAATTTCTGTCAAATTTACATCAAAGCTGAAGTCACAGTCCCCTAAGAGGGAATTCCACGCACAGCGTTCGTGTGTCAGTTCCAACATTTTCCAAATTCACCCTGCCGGCCTCCCTTTAAATAGTCCGAGGAAATGTCCCAATGACCTAATTACGACTCAGGCTTTCCTAAGTAGCCTGTGTCAACACATGACATGGTGTTCAAAAATACACTAAGTCACAAACAGCAAAGGCTTTGGTGGCAGCGCGGCGTGTTTTCCTCCTGTTGAGTTTTATTAGCGTTATGTGGGGACAGTGAGCTGGATTCTGTCTGTGTCTATGTTCCCCTTTGTTGTCTCTCAGCTCCGAAGCTTTTCCCAGGCCTGGTCAGACTTTCAAAGGCTCACTGTGGCTGATCATTCCACCAGATATACATAGATTTGACTTGGTCGGTTCATCACACTTTAATCTATCCGACATTAATACAACCCACAAACGGAGTTTCAGAGCTACACTCTCCGAACGAGTTCAGCCAAACTCTTACTCCAGGTCTTATTCTGGCATTAACAGGCGCTCAGACACAAAAGCCGCCCTGCCCGAACAAACAGCATTAAATAATTGTTTCTGTTTTGGGGCCCTGGCACTTTGGTCCACTTCAGCAGCTTAGTTGCACCTAAAGTAGCTCTTGGAAACAATAACAATGAATCCTGTTCAAACAAAGCCTCATTCATACCGAGTAAAGCTCAGTTAAGCTGTCATTTAGTGACATTTCAGCAGGATTCTAACTTTATCCTTTTACTGTGTTCGTTTGTTTAGCACTGGGAGAGACGAGGTGGATATGCATCCTGCTCAAAACCACTTTATGGTAATGGTTTGGAAATAGCCGAGACAATTAAAGCAAAATGAAGGGGAGACTGATGGACGAGCTGGAGTGCCTGGAATTCCTGCTCAGTGTTTAAACTAAGTGTTTTGTCAATGAGCCACCTTTGTGAGCGAGGCCCTTTTTAGTTGCAGCTGCAAAAACTATCTATAAACACAGAGCGGTGGGGAAGACGACCTTGAGCAGTTACTGGATATGAAATCAGATATCAGAGTCAAGCTCCTCACCTACAACAATTAGCTTCACATGGGAAATCAACAAGTTGGAAAATTGATAGAGGACGGGCAGAGGGTATGAGAAAGAGTAAAGAAGTTGAGCAGAGAGGAGACCGACAGCTGCTCCTTTGGCTTTGAGGACTTATTGTAAAAAAAGCTTTTTTTGCAGCAGATAGAAAGCAGCTTCCTCCATAATGTGTTGTGGTTAATCCATCCTGCTGTGCACCTGTAACTTGATCTTCCATCTCTGATTTCGGTAAAGTAAACACAATCATCATTCCTAGATTTGCTATAGTTGAAAACTTTATGGATAACAATGCAGACTGTTGTCCGGACAGTTTGAAGTCTGGCAGAAACCACTGCAGCACTCTCCTGTACATCTTCTCCTATCTGATCAGTGACTTGAGATGTAAAAGCTACACCTGGTTGCCCAACTGGCCCTCATCCCCCCTTTCTGCATCCTACTGAATTTCTGTCCTCTTTTCTATCTCATCTTCTCATCTCTCCCCTGTCTCTGCTTTAGGGTCCCAAGTGGGTCTAGCCCGTGTCCTGCTGAGGCTGCAGCAGGAGGACTACCTGATGTGTCGCTGTGCAGAAAGAGACCAAGAGGTCTGTTGTTGAAAAGCAGCTCTGTGCTGCATTTGCAGATCGACTTACACAACCACTTCCTGCTTCCGACCCACTCGGCACAGGCAGCTCTGTGTGCCAAGGCTGAAAAAAAGTGCAAACAGAGGGGTTCAGTCCAACCGGGGGCTGAGCACAGGACGCTATTCATCCTCTCCCCAATGCTCCTCCCTGCATCCCCCCCACCAGCTTCAGGATGGTTTAATTTTCAATTTTATAAATATTTCCCTCCCTGAGGAGCTGAGATCAACTGGCTGCTCATTGCCTTGTTTTAGCTGAGCTGGAAGGATGAGCTGTGTCAGTGCTGCCCCCAGACTGAAGAGGTGAAGTGTGCTGGTTTTAATGTGTACCATGCCTATCTTGTCCGCACAGATACACTCCTCGCTTCAAGGGTCACAGATTTAAGATTTAATCGATGCACTGAAGGCAAATACATCTTGCATTTTACCATCACAGAGTCGTCAGTACATCGGGACCCTTGCTGCGAGGGATGCAGGAGAAGAATAAGTGAGGGTATGTAGTGTGAGGGGGAGGGGAGCAGGTGAGTTTGGGTGTTGGAGTCGTGTTGCTATTCCTGGAATGCTCATTTTGTCCCATCTAGACTTGGCAACAGTGGAGTGGTTAGGAGCTCGGGGACAGCAGACTCCCACTGTGTCTGACTGTTTAGGTAGGGACCCTGTGAGGGCCAAGGGGGCAGGGGTATTTAAGATTCCTGGGGAAATGGCGAAGTGGGCAAATAACTCTGAACGCAAACAAACCCAGAGCATTAATGATGAGTCTGTCGCTAGACTGGATGTTTTTGCTTTACTCCCTGTACACAGCAAAAGGAGGGCAAACTGCCTGAGCCACAGACTGTTTTCACTACTGTCCTTGTTGTTGCTTGGGTCATTGGACACTGCCTTGTTTTTCTACTTTAAACGCATTAAAACAGCACCCGATACGTCCATTCCTACCAGGGGGATAGAAAAACATTTAGCTGGCTGCCGGCTCCTTGGGCTTCCCCCCTCGGATGTCAGCCTCAGATGAGGGTGAGAAGAATGACGCTCTGTACGACCACTGCAAGAAGCCATTCATAAAGCCACAGCTCAACCGCAGAGAGTGTGTAGCACTGACCCATGGTGGCTGGAACAGCACCAGTACTGATCCAGTCACTGCTGTCCCAACACTTAACAACACCAGTATTGATCTTATCCATACTGGGCAGGATGGTGCAACCGAAACAACATCTTCACTGATTCAGCAGGATCACTGCAGGGTTTGACCAGCCCAGCGGAGAGCCCAAGGAGGAAGGACCTCTGCACCGCATGGCTCAGTCAACATTTGCATGGATAAGAAGGTACACAGAGATATTCAGCAAACCGTCATGACAAATTTGCTTCAGTGTGTTGAAGCAATGATCATCAGCATTTACGTGCATGTAGAGGAACCAAACCCAGTTCACACGACTGATCTCTGGTTGATCGACAAACTTAGTGGACCCGGACTACTGTAAATTCTTTTCCACTCGCTCAAGACCTTCTGCCATGTAGAACAGGAGGCCTTATTATAGGTCAGCAACTAACTCGAGGCTGAGGAACAAACCAAAGCCCCTGGCAGGGCTCACGTTGTTCCCCTCAGACCCGCTCGGGCTCACTGGAGACCATTGCTGGAGGCTCGGAGAGAGAAAGTGGCTTCTGTGCTTTGACCATGCCCAACCTCTCTGGCTTCACATGCCTGCGTGTGAGGCAGGCGGCCGGGCCAAGCCAAAGAGCAGCCTAAAGAGAATGCTGTGTACACTGGAATATTTCTCCTAGACCCGTGACTTATGGAAAATGTACCAATCCTGGAGCACTTAATAGGGTATTGACGTAAAATTGAGAGCGATAACACAGCTTTTCCCCCTGCTGTGATATGTGATCTTTTCTGAGAGAGTGTCAGATGAATGAGTGTGATTATTCCAGGTCCGTCTGAAGATGCTGCACAAGAGGCCAAAAACAGGGTAACCTGAGACCGCAGCTTCCAGGCTGAAAAACTCTCATAGATGCCACCAAGATTACAAAACGTTATAACTCTGACTTTAAACTCAAAGAACTAAAGAAGAAAAAAATCATACAGTGGCATGACTCAAGATGAAAAAATAACTGGGACTATAATAATGGTTTTTATCAGCATGTCTTCAGTCACAGATGCCACCCTCTCTCCAAGCCTCTCTCCGAGCCTCTGTGGGGTTAGATGATAAGGCCTGACTTGGGCACAACGTTTGGATCCTCTTCATGCAAGCTGGAGTAATCCTCTCCTCCATCTCATGAATCACACTTTCCCTCTCCTTCCTATTTTTACAGCTGCTGTGCATCTAAATCTGCTCAAACGCTTTACTCCTCTGTGACGGAGAAAGACATGGAACCCGGAGTGTTCAGGACTCGGGTTCCCACAGTCCCTCTACTTCCTCACACTCTCTGCATAAACAACCAGCAACGATTCCCTCTTGACCTTCAAACGCACGCAGCCGCTCATGCCCTCTTAATGTGTACGTGTGCGAGAGCATAATGACCCATGCACTTGCATTTCAGGAAGCTATCAGAGAACAATTAGAGATTTACAACCTCTTTCGTTCTTTTTGATACAGTCGATTGACTCCGAACTGTAGGAGGTTGAAGAAGTAGAAGAATGCAATGATATACTGAATTGTTGTAAAAACGGTCACTTCAAAACCATTAAACACACACTCAAATATTGCTTTAATAAAGGCCAGGACTCCATCCAAAGACAGGAAATGATATATGAGGCACCAAAGACTAAGAAACTGAGCAGAATCAACAGAAATCGAATGTCCTTGAGGCTGAAATTATAAAACATTTAAATCAAGAACAATGGAAAGAGGAGAAGGGCTTCATTTGAACTCAGGACTGCTGTTCTCCACCGTAATACATTTCAGTTGCTGTGTCACATTTCTGACAGCTTGTTAACTCTAAACCAACAAAACACAGTTGATATATAAATGGTGAATGTCCTTACACAGCTCGCCAGTTGTTTTTTTCCTGTCAGGGCTTAGCACATCACTCAGATGGAAACTTTACCATTTGCACAAGCTGAGATAAAAGATAGCCCGCTATAATTTAAGTGTCAACTTTGTTATGCATGAAAAGTGTCAGTGTTCAGCCCGTGAGTAGCTCTGATGAATAAACCATTTGGTCAAGCTGTTCAGATAGGAAGCCCTGTCTCGGTCAGTTAAAGAGTAAAGGCAAAGAGACAGCCTGGGGTCTGTAACCTCCCGCCTTTGACCCCTGGGTTCAGCAGTGAAGCCCTAATGCTGCCATCATGCAGCTCTGACAAAGAAAAAAACCACCGGTCTGGGCTGTGGTCTCTGTTTTTGCCCTTTCGCCCTGGCTTTAATTTGTCATGCCGGCATCGCGTGCCCGACCATTTGTGTTGGCACAGCTCACATCGCTGGGGCAGCAGGAAGGCCATTAATCTAGGGCTATTGGGTCTTTAGGGACTATGTGAGAACCGTTGGTCACTGAAACACACCCTGATGCTGGTCAGAGATGTAGTCAGGAATAGGAGCCGTAATTTAGGAAGTGTGTATATAAATATTTGAATATGCAGGAAAATAAATACGAGCTGCTCACATTTTAAATGACCTTTAGCTCGTCTTTGATCTCGTTCCCTTGTCCTTTTTCAATGCAAAGAGGACTGTGTATTAAATGCTGTTTGTGTAAGTCAGACAGAAGTAATCTTATATAATCTAACTACTGATGAAAGTCCCAAAATAGTTTCAACTTTTAAATATTGCTTTTTTGTTCACACACGAAGTCCTGTGATATTTAATTCAGAAAAACAGTTCCAAAATCCTCCACAGAGTCTAAACTGCTTTACAGATGTACAAATAAAATCCAGCTTCTCTATACACCACTCAACTGTTTTCCATACAGTTTAGATCTGGACAATTTAAAGTGGTGTTAAGCGCCACCGTTGATTAAAATGAAGCCATGTGAAGAAACTGAGGCAAAGGGAAAGTCGGACGATCCTCACCAACCTAAACTTGACAACAATGTCATAATCCAAGATGGCAGCGCAGTGCATCAACAGTAAAGAGTAACAGTGAAAGCTCTCGTAATGTATTTTTTTTTTAGCATTTCTGTTTTGTTTTCGTGAAATTAAATAAGTGGTATATGTTGTACTGCCCAACGTCAAACCGTGAACACGTTGCTATGGTGTTTGTAAGAGTAAAACACTGTGTTGTGCTTTGTTTATAACTGGTATCGCTAACAACAGCTAACAACAGCTAACAACAGCTGACAACCGCTAACAACAACTGACAACAGGTAACTGTAGGCGTCCATCTTGGTTTTCCGACTTGTTAATTGGAAAGCTGTCAACTCAGGTTTAACGTCATAATGCAGTATAAATGTTTCAATGCACATCTCTTTCTGTTCAGCATTTCAGGTTCACACACTGACGTGAAGAAGTAAAGACAGTCAAAAGGTTCAGAAAAAGAGACACAACTGGACACGTTTGCTCTAATCTTATGAGAAGACTCTCTGCATTATTCATCCACTTTGCTTCCATGCAGGCAGGTAGAGAAATAGAAAGTTATTTGAGCTATACAAGAATTAAGTTTGACAGGATTTGAAGGCTAAAACATCATCCAACCTGAGGGAGAGAGGACACCTAAACCTGGGTTAGTGAAAACTAACTTTATCATAAGTACTATAAAAGTGAAAAAGCTCACCAAGTGTGTGCTCTTACTCTCTCCTGAAAACAAACATCCTTTCTCCCGATCTTGACCATTGTTGATACACAGCATCAGTCAGAAACATCAGTGAGTTTGACTGCACATGGGTTCAGAGGCAGACACTCACATGCATCTCTCCAGGTTTTTGTGGCTACAGTCCGAGGGCTTTATGAATGGGGCTTGTCTGATGTGAGCCTCAGCTTCCTTTGTGCTGTTTTTGTTCCTCCCAGACTTCTGCTGCTCGCACAGGCTTGAATAACCTCAGTGATGTAATCTCTCCTCAGACGCCCAGCTGATGTTCCATTGTAAAGTAAAAGAAAAAAACGTGGTGCAGGCAGGGGGTTAGTGCCCCTGTTTTAGGGGGGAAAATGACATCATGCAGGCCTGATAAGCTATACAACATCAGAGGGGTCCATCTGCTGTGTGGGGTAATTGAACTGTGATTGTTTACTTGGAAGCCAAAACTCTGCTCTGTATATCGTCTCACTGAATATCTGGATAATATGTAATTGCTGGCAATCACAGTATGAGACTGTGGGTAAAAAAAGAGAGAGTGGCTGCAGTCAGGATGACGGGATGTCTTCACTTACCCCTGCTTGAGGTGGAAAATTGAAATGGTATAAACTTTTTGGGTTTGGGTTTTTAAATGTAGGTCAGTGGAAGGTACGGTGTACTCACTATGTGATGCGCACAGTAAATCCAACTGCTTTGAACTGTGCCAGATTTGTTATAAATTGTTCAGAAAGACAAAACCATGGGTGTGTGTAGTCTGAGGGTGGTTCCTTCTCTGGGGCAGATTTGTTATAGAAGAAGACCAAATAATGTCTGAAGTTTCCACACGAGGATCAGAGTGTCCTGGAGACAGTGTTTAGTGTTTGAAGAACCCGCTAACCTCTTTGTCTTCTCAAAGGTTGTTTTTTTTTTGACACGAATGCCAAAATCTCAGTACCTTCTTCAAACAAACCAACACTCACCTGTTCCATCCACTCTTGTGTAAGTTTGGGAAAAAGAACATCGTAACAGAAACAGAGTGAGGATGACACATCAGTCTGGGCAGCTGGCTGAACTGCTACAGTAGCGATTTGTGAGTCAGAGGTTGAGACTGGAAAGCAAGGGAAGCATCTGAAGAATGGGTGACTATTTGGTGAGTGTGATTCACTACTTGTGTGGTGAACCTCTCAGAGAAAGGCAGTGCCACCAGGACCTGTAAAAGCCCGTCTGTTATTCCACCTTTGCAGGCAATGGGTGCTTTATTGCCGCACCAAGACTCGCAAAAGCCTCAGGGCCAAATAGGTGTGTAATGGAGTCAGCTGAGAGAGAACGGTCGACAACACAGAAGTCAATCTGCTCAGAAAGCTTCAATCTTTCTCTCACTTATGACGGTCCCACATCTTCCCCTCCACACTTCCTTCTTCTGCTCTTTCTCTGCTTTTTGCCCTCCCACTTGTGCTCCATTTTCCATCTGAATCCCTCCCTCTGCTTTTTGTTTGGTCCTCTGCAGCACTTTGACTCCCTCTCTGTGGAGACAGACTCTTTGACAGCCTGCCCCAGTGGGCAGTAGACAGAGAGGGGAGGGTTATTTTTAGATTGCACCCAGATTAAAAGTGGAACGTTTTTCTTCGTTCTTGTAAAGAGTCCTCTTCCCTCTCTTTCACTGTGTAATGAAGTTTAGCATCTCTGTGGGGGATCTCGTGTTACCTCTCCCACACATACCCTCCTCTTCCCCTCCGCTAGACTCATCTAACCCACCCCCCCACAGACACCGACACACTCATCCTCTCCAAACACTGACATCATGGACAGACCAAACTCCTTCCCTCTGCCTGTGGGGGCTGTTCTCCTCTGTCTGTGCACAGTGAAGTGGGTGAGTCTCAGCTCCCCACACAAATCAGGGAACGGGAGAAAAAAACAAGCTGTCAGAAAACACACATCCGCTGCAAGAAAACAAGCCTGATATATCATTACATCGTCGTCAGAGACGTTCCCCTCGCATGACCTTTTTCCTACCAAAGCTACCACACTAGACTGGTGGTGACTTTTCTCACACACACACACACACACACACACACACACACACACACACACACACACACACACACACACACACACGCACACGCACACACACCCGCACACGTACACGCACAAACTGTTAAAAGGGGCATTAAAATTATCGCACAACAGCCGTGAGTAAAATTAGGCCAACGCTGTATCCAGGAGTCTGGGAATTGACTGGTGAGCTTACTTCAGCGTTTTCCTGTCTTGGACTGAAACCAAAGTCTGACTTTCCCCCCCTGTCTCACACACAAACACACACTTCCCACACCATGTGGATCACCTCATCTCTGGCCCTGAACTGGTGAAATGAGAGGGGGAGACATGGCCCTCTGAGTTTTACTGGTCCTACTCTCGCTGACCCGTGTCGGGGTCTAAAGTCGGATACAGCTCCTGTAACTTTCCTTGAAAACGCTCCTGTTCCTTTGAAAATATTCTGTTTTTTAGCTTCGCAGTTTTTTCCTGCGCTCTTAATTTGAAGGAATGAACTTTCAGGGAGTGGGAGATATTGCGTGGTAGAAGGCCTGGCAGGGAGCGAGCAGGAAATCTTTCATTAAAACTCGTTCAAGGCCTGTCATGACTTCAAGCTCTGTGTTAGATATTGAATAATAAGTGACATAGAGCTGCTCTGTTGAAGGATTTAAATGCCCTCCATCACAGCCTGACTTCAATAAAAAGGTAAAAAACAGCTTCAAATCTACGCCTTCTGATTGACAGCTGTGTTTCAGGCCTGCGCGCACTTGATCAAAGATTTGCTTTTCGCCTGTGAACTTTCATGATAATTTCACAAAAGAGCCAGAACAAAGAGAAGAGAGTGTGAGGGTGCTGTTGTAAAAGAGGAGAAATGAGCAGGGAAAGTGATAAAGACAAACCAAAGTAGAAAATGAAGTCTAATCACAGAGTGCTCTGCTGGGTTACGGCACATCAAACCACTTCAAATCACTCCTTCTCCGGCACGTTTTATTGATGCTTTGGGAGCTTCAGTGAGAAAACAAGGAACACATTGGGCCTAATTGTCGATCACATGTGAAAATATCTATGTGGGATGTGTTACTTTATCTAAAACATGTGTCCTGACTGAGAGAGATGTACCCAACTGATTTACCAAAACGCTGCCACCCCCGCTCGATCTTATCCTTCACTGCATCAGACTCGTGGAAAACAACGTGTCAGCAATAACAGTGATCTCCCAGTGAAATAGGATAGCCGAGGCCGAGTGTGTTATTTTATAAGCAGAATGCACATAAGTGCCTCTGGGAATCTGAGGAGCCCTATGGCAGCCTTTGGATCAGGCCCTTGCTGTTTTTGCTGTATTACAGAGAAACCTGAGAGTAAAAGCTCTGTTTTCTCTCCTGCTGCTCTTTTCTCAGCCTGTCATTCTTGCAGCAGGAGGTGCCTGGACCACAGTGACAGTCAAGCATCTCGCAGAAGCATTTAAGGTATAAAAAAAAGGGGGGGCGATTTGAGGTGGTTTTCCTGCCGTATCAGTAGCTCTGCTCTCCCTGCAGCGTCAGAGATCAGGGGTCTGTGTTTACGTCTGCCAAGAGGGGGGAGAGTGGCATGTCTGAAAAGAGGACAAAAAAAGGAGCTGTTCAGCAGCAAGGAGAGCAGAGGAAGATAATATCAGTGCTCTCTCTGCTGATAGGAAGACAGTGCAGGGGGATTCCCTCGCCTCTCTTCACCAGGTCTGCGCCTGTGTCGACAAGACAGCTAAGCTCCTCATATACGTGTTTAAGCTTCTCAAATAAGAAAGAGGCAGAGAGAAAGGGCATTCGTGGTCCAGGCGATGATCTGCCTATTAGGGTTTGTATTGTTCGAAGAAATCTGCGAGCCCAAGGTTTCCTTTTTCAGACATCCAACAGGAAAAGCCTTTCTGCTCCAGGGCTACAGAGCATTTATGTTGTTAGCATACCTGGAGCTGTGCCTCCTGTCGAAAAACATTCTCTCTTTGAGCCGAGGGTCTCCGAGGATAATACTCAGAGGAGATGTATCAGTGAGCATGGCTACCACACACAATGACTGCTGGAGTTAGAATTTGATCTGCTTGATTCACCAATTTTAATGATCTTAGATGCTTTGTCCTGTGAGAAAGTGCTACTCAGTATATGAGACAAAAACAAAATATAAATCCTAAAATCGGTTTAATCCTGCTCTATTCGTAGGACGGATAATTCTTAAATCCTGCATTGTTTACCTAAGCTGCTTAACCACAATTATGCATTAGAAGTTCGGCTTTAATACAGAGCAAACTTGTGATGTTCCTGATGGTTTTATGCCTGCAGGAGCGGAAAATGTCTGCATAAAACAGTTACCATACACAGTAACGACAAAGTGATGCAAAAGAAAGAATCTGAGCCGTTCACAGCTGTCCAGAGTCAACATCTCTATGATAATTTTGTTGGCACAAAATGATTTAATACTGTGTTAACATGTAACAAGACAGCCTTCCCAGGGCAAAATAAACACTGAAGACAACCCAGCGCAGCGTTGCACCTCACGCTGATGAGGCCATTGTTAGCTCACTGCGAGAGGATCACTCCCATAATCTGTGAATACATCCGCCTCCACGGTGCACTATCTGTGTTTGTTGTATTTACTTGTAAAACTACTGTGGCTCACGGGGAGAAGCTGTGTTAGTTTAGCACAGCTGCACAAGCCCACTCAGTGCATGTGGATAAAGACGGAGGCTTTAGCAAGAAGTCCTTTTTTAAAAAGAGCGATTTTACAGAGCAAATTGGAAGTGCTTAGTTTGAAATGTTGTTTGCTGCTGTTTTATCAAATGTTCACTTGCAGTCCTGGCCTTGAGGGTAAACTAGGGGGCTAACCCAGATTAGAAACAGACCCATCTCTGTTATCAGTGGTGATTTTCGGCCTCAGTGACTGTCTCAGCGTTGATAGCATCTCAGACTGTCAATCTCCCGTCTGACATCAGATGCAGACTGACCCAGATTGGCGGATGAGGCTGCTCTCTTGGAGATCACCGCTGCTTTAACCTCTCCCATCTGCGTCAGCCGTCACACATGGTTCGTATAACAAATCTCTTTCTTCTCCACGGCAGTTTAAGCGCAACATGCAAACACGGAAATGAGATATACACTACTGTGCTGAGGCTCGACCGAGAGGGGTGGGCACCGGCTTTTTTACTTTTTACTGCAGAGATAAAACCAGCAGATAGCCATGAAGAACCACAAGGGGCCGATTGAACAAAAACACATGGAGGTGTGTTTGTGTATGCAAGGCTGCGCACACACACACACAAACAAACCTACACACTAACAAACATGAATGCTCTCACACATACTGTCAGTCAGCTGTGTTGATAGAGGTGACTAGTCTGCAAAGTCCTTCAAGTCAAATGGCTTCAAGATGCTGCCACAGTTACAGGGAGTTAAAAATGGCCCCTGGGGTTGTTTTTAGGTGAAAATGTGATTTTGTTTTCTCAGAGAAATGATCAGAGAATTTTATTTACAGCTCGGCTAAAGTTGACGGTGACAGTGACCTGATTCTGATTTAAATCTTTCAGAAAAGGGGATAAAAGTGCAAAACTGAATAATACAAAAATACACCAAATTAAAGGTAGATTTCAGCCAGTCTGACACTCCCCTCAAATGACAATGTTTAACTTTAATTCAGACTGAAGTTTGTCATTACTCCACCCCGCCACTTCACCTCCTATTTCTACAGCTGAGCCACCTGTTTCGGCCCTATAAAACACGAGTGTATTACCCTTGAAAAAAAAACGTGTTTCGCATTTAGACAGTTTGTGTGAACAAATAGCATCCTTCCTGCACAGTCTGAGTCAGAGCTGCTGCTCTTTCTCTCTGTTCTCTGTTCCCAATCAGTTTTATGTGAAAGCAGATAAATGGATGCAAGAGGTATTTTTTTTTGAAGAGGTTCAGGCTGTTGTGGCTCAAGATAGAGAGAAAGAGAGATGTCTAAGGAGCTTCTGGCACTGACTGGAAAAATATGGCGCAATCAGACGGTTCATTTGGCCAAAAATTAATGAATCCAATTCACTCTGGCTAAATTTGCCGACAACATTAATTGTTTGAGCTCACTTTCCCACACAGTCTTATCTTATATTTGTAGATGCACGCATTTGTGTTGGCATGTTGCTGTTTAAAGATTCTTGAAAACTGAGAGAGCTCACACACTCCTACACACCCACACACACATACCCTCCCCCTCCTCTATGACAGACTCTGTGAATGTTTGGCTGTGCCAGCTGTGTGAGCTTGAGGCTGGGTGTGGGGTGTATACAGTTGTCTGACAGGCTGCATGGTGTGTATACACGGAGTCATAAACAGAATCTGGAGCGGAAGCGCTGATCACCTAAATGTGCTTGACCTTCTGACCCCGCGGCTGAACTGTTATGCTTTCACTGTGCGTAATGTCGGCCCATACAGCTGCAGGAAACACTGAGTGCTGCGCTGGACTGCGGCCGGAGAATGTGAGTGTGTGTGTGAGAGAGAGAGAGAGAGAGAGAGAGAGAGAGAGAGAGAGAGAGAGAGAGAGAGAGAGAGAGAGAGTTTAAAAGACAGGACACACACTTTCTGGAGAATCCTCCAAATTTCATCTTTTTGTTTATGTTCTCATATGAGAGTAGGTATAAATTATCCAAAAGTCTGTTTGCATGTCTGCGCATGCTGGAGCGTAAACATGTCTGCGTCCAAGTCTTTGAAGTTGACCACAGTGGCATTGCACTGCAGTGAACTGAAGTTTAAGAGAGAAATAAAGAGAGACAGAGAAAGAGAGAGAGAGAGAGAGGGAAAGAGAGAGAGAGAGATCCACATTCTGCTGCTCAAACATCTGCATTTATAAATAACAACTCTCAAATACAGCCGCAGAATTATATGTGTGCTGCAAAGTGGAACGACTCAATCTGCAATCCGCCGAGTTGTTTGGAGGAGTCCTCCTAAAACAAATACATAAACCAGGTAGAGCTTTGGCGAAAAACCAGACTGAATGAATGCTCACCTGGATTTTAGGGGCCGTCATTCCACACAGGTGAGACAAGCAGTGCTTTTAAAAACACTCGAGCCTGTTTTTATAAGTTGACAGGTTCACCTTCGAACTGAAAGAATCTGCACCCCCAAAACGCCGGCGCCTGAGAGCAACAATGCTTTAAAAAACAACTGTGAGATGCAAAGCATTGTCAGGATGAGGGCCTCCTGCACTGATGCGTCGTGATCTAGGTCACTGAGAGGACACATATAAGAGGAGACTGTCTGATGTCTATATTGTCCAAAGGCTGCTTTCTCTTTCTCTAAGTCTGCTCTTGTGTGTGTGTGTGTGTGCGGACACGATTGAATGGAAATACGCCCATCGTCTGCTAACACTTCATGTCATTCCAGCTTTCAACTCCTGAAGGGGCAAGAAGCCACTGTGAACTCCCTGAGCAAACACTGAGGATGGAGCGAGGAGAGTCGACAGTTAAGGATGGAGATACAGCAAACATGCCCGTTTGAACCGGAAATATTCAGCAGGGTTCGAGCGCCGAGCTGTTTGAACCGGGGGACACTAGAGAGGACCTGGCAAATAAATGTGTGTTTGACGGCCAAACAGTGCTGAAGGCAGAGCTCTCATGGGGAATCTGACAGTGGAGCCTGATAGTCAGCTGCTGCTGACTCTCCACTGTGCTGACAGTTTCAATAAGAAGACACAATAAGCTCAGTCATCGAGGAAAAAATCCACCAAGCCTCCTCTTGTGAAGAAACCGAGCTATTTCTGACCGTCCTAAAGGAATGACACCTGAAACTTACAGTATACCTCCACCATAAACAAAGAGAGACAGACCGAAAGACTGATTCATTATCCCATTCTTTAATGGCATGAGGTGCCAGGTTTATAGACTGACAGGGCTAATTAGAAAGGCATGAAAGTTTGAACAGCATGTGACTCCTCTGACCCATAAAAATCTCAACATGTTTGTTGGTTCAGTTGAGGACAGCATCTTTTCGTTTCATCCATTTCATCCACCGAAAGCAGCTGTAGTGCAAGCTTCAAAGAAACCTCGGCGTTGTCTCTCTGTGTGATTGGCAGATGCCTTCAAGTAACACAAAAACTGCGATAACAACAGAATTAGCAGCAAGTTATGTCAGATACATATATATGTATTAAAAAAAATCCAATAGTCTGGCTTTTGTAAAATGTGCTGCCTTCTCTTTGAACCTTTTCAAAACGACACGTCTGTCAACACTTCAAATGAATGTGGTCATCTGTCCATGACACAGATTGCGGTGCCACGGATGACAGTCATCAGTAGTCCTATACACGAGCTTTGATGTGAGACCACAGCGCTCTCCTTTCCAGCCAGTTCTCATAGCGCTCTCTTTAAATAGAGCATGACATCAGACTCCACGCAGGTCTATCGGCCCAAGCCCAAAACAAATGTGTCCAAACAATGCCACATCTGGAGCGAAACGCAGGAGTGAGTAGGGGAAGAGCAGGAATGTAGCGGAAAAGAGGTTGAGAAAGGGAAAACGCTCCTAAAGTTGTTTAGCTTTAGGACCCCGGCCAATATGTCTGAGGATGTGCCTGAGCTGTAATTTACTGGTGATTCCCCCTCAAACCCCCTCAAAAAAAAGAAAGAAAAAAAAGAAAAAAGAGCTGATGTCGTCACAACTGCAGAGTCAAACTGAAGATGGAGCTAAAATGGGAAACACTCCTGCCTCTCCTTGTGTAATACCTGAGTATTACGTCATTCAATTCCTCCAGACGACCGCCAACAGTGACACTTGTAAGGTTAAACAGGAAAAACCTTCAAGTTCCAAAAAGTTCACGAAGACCTTCACAGAGAAAATCCATTCCTTGTTTGATTTGGCTCATTCTTCTGACTTGTCTGTGCAGATGCAGGAGGAGGTCTTCACAAAGTCTTCTTGGGCAGCCTGTTCTTGTTGTCACTGTCAGAAGCAATCAGAGCTGCTGGGTCTACGTTCAGGCAGCCGAAGGAGCAGACGAGCAGGCAAATATTCAGGCCAATTTTCTGCCTGTTGGATAAAGTGTCTAATAAACACATGACGGCTGATCCGACCGTTATTTGTCAGCGGACACGCAGTAAACTCTCCACAGTCTGACAGAGACGCATTAACTAAAAGTCAAGAATGCAAAAAATGAATGCAACAACACACAAACGCATAGGTGTGCGTAAAAACACACACAGACATCAATCTATGAGGGGATCTGTGTGGGAGCTGAGGGAGCTCTTTGGGATGAAGGTGTGACCTGACAAATGGAGACGTACAGTAGGGTGGAAACTATGCTGAATGTGTCCTGTTTTAAGAGGAGGACTCAGATAAGGAGGAGAAAGAGGAGGCGGGGGGAAAAAAGCAGAAATGATAGAACCTGAGGGAATCTCCTCTGCCATAACTTATCTGTTTTTACTTCCTCTGTGCTGAGGCTGCACAGTCAGACAGGCCTGGTCTCTCAAACTGTATTTTCTGGCTGGATTACAAACGTGGGTTAAATGAACAGTCAGAAAGTTCAACACAAGCTGTAGGGGGCACTACAAGGAGATGGAGGACAAAATAATGGCTGAGTCTAATGCAGCTTCTTATTTAAAAAACCCTTCAAAGTAAGATGAGATAATTCAAGCTGAAAGCAAGCAGGTGCTCTGGAAGCCTCCTGGCTCCGTTAAAAAGAGCTGGGTGAAGAAACTGAAACAGACAAGAGGCCTGCAGCTCATGTAGTTCAACTTGCTGCCAAGCTTGAAGTAGAAAATGCATGAAAAGGAGTTAACATTGACAAAAGGGCAATATGATTAATGACAAACATGTCATCTGTGTATACAAATTACATAGAGACATTTGCCACCCCTGACAGTGACAGTTCACAAAAGGAAAGCGAAGGAATGCACAGGAAAGCCATTTTTCTCAATCCAGACACAATTATGATCCAACATTGAGAAGAGGAGAGTTTTTCTTCATGATAAAATGTCAAAACTGGAAGTCTGGGAACCTGTTTGTTGAAATTTAAATCTCACAAAAACCTGATGAGGACAGTCATGACCAAGTAAGGACAATATTCCTCTCCTTAATCTGCCTGTGCTGATGCTGCTTCTGATTCAATCCAGGCTGTTCCTCTTCTAATTCATAGGTTTCGAGACAGGAGTGTCATTCACAGGAGATACTTCACATTCCTTTTTGTGACTAGGTCTTTAGTTCCCAGAGAAAATAGACAGTAGGTTTTAGCCAGTATAAGCTTTTGTATGGTTTAGTATCTTCATCATTTAAATCCATTCGTAAAGAAGGTTACAGAATTATCTACGCAGGGGGGGGAGGACCCGAACAGAGCAGAGGGTTTTTGTCTCAACTTTCTCCCTGTACATTACCCCATTTATGCCCAGATACCAACCAAACAAATTGACTGAGGAGTGACATGCAAGCAAGGCCATGGGCCAGCGACATGACGTATAACCGGCTTCGCATACACTACACAGACCGCTAAGCCTGCAGGGGCCTGAATCTCTCTGTCTTGGGTGCTCTTTGTCGTGCTGTACATAACATTGTATAACTCCTACCCTCTTGCAGTGTCTACAGGCATATAAAAGTTACCGCATAGAAATTGTCAATCTTTTTATGAGCGATCTTATTTGCATTTTTCGATCACAGGGAGGCATCACTGTCAAATCCAGACTGTTTCATGGCCGCTTTAATAACTCCTCACAGGAGCTTTAAAGGTGATGTTATTGCTTTGAAATGATTATATCAACAACTTGAGAAATGAGGCATACACTGTTGATTTTATCACTCACCTCATGGTTTTAAGTTATTTCTCTCACCAGCTCTGATTGCAGGACAAGATCTAAAATCAGGCCTAGGATATGTGTGCTGTTTGCCACATTGTTTTCAAATCTGATGTTGATGGAAATCAGCTTTTTGCTGGATTGTGCTGGTACTCCTTTCAGTTCCTGGCACTGCTCTTGCTACCCTGAATTAATAACCACTGTCAAGGTTTTTGACCAATCAGAATGAAGTATTCACACACTTGCATGATTCCTCATCAATCACTGATTACACTGGATTGGATTTCTACGGGCTCCACTCTGCTGAGTCTGCACTGTTTAGTGACTGCTCCTCAGTTTTGCATTTTCATTATGAAACTTGACATCTGAGACAAGCTGGTACCAATAGTTTCTGGAGAACAGCCAAAAATCAAATCATTTAAGCATTCAGATGCTTTTACTCATCATCATCCATCTATATATATCTCAAGAAGTCATTCAACACCATGTCACAGGCGATGAGGGGCAGATTAAACCACTGACAGTTCATGTTGAGGTTGAGCTCTCTGTTCAGCTTTCACTATTGAAGCCTAATGAAAGTCAGCTCAGGCCTGTCAGGAGGGAAGCACGGGGGTCAGAGGTCATGACCGTATCACTCAACATGGGAATTATGGGGAGAAAAACCTCTCTGGTCTTATGTAACATTGGTGACTTGTCTGCTGTGTGCCCACCATGCAAACCGCAGTATGGTTATTATAAAGGCTTTTAGACACTAAACAAGACCCAGCATTTAGCATGCAAAGTCTCACAGTCACAGCAGCCGCCTGGGGGGGTATGACTAAGAGTCTTAAGTGGGCTAAGATGAAAATGCAAATGTATTAATCATGAAAAGAAAAGTTTCTCTCCCCAGAGGGTTGAATCAGACTTCCCGAGGTCATCTTTCTGTCCACACACGCATCTCCACACACACTTTCCGGTTACAGTGAAGTCATCCTGCCTGCTTTTTCATCCCAGCATCCCCGTGGAGTTTCTCTTCGAAGGCTTCCTCTCACTAAGACCTACTGTTTCAAGTGTTGATCTTTCCATACTTCTCTCTTTGGTAATCATGCATGAGCCTGATGGAGGAAGAGTCGGGGGCGGTGGGTGTGTTTGTGCTGTCAGGGAGTCTAGAGTAACATTAACGGGCGATGTGAGAGGCAGGAGGTGGTGGCGGGGGTCAGGGGTCACACTGCTCCGACAAACAAATGAGCCACCCAGTGAGGAAGTCAACAAGAGATGCTTTCCCTCCGCGGCCTCGCGAGCCCCTAGCAACAGCAGCGGCAGGCAAACATGTGTGTGACAAATGTGCCATCTGAACCAATGACAGGGTCTCAATCATCACCATATGGGGTTACCACACAAACATGTCACATAAACACAGCAGAGGGGGCGGGGGAGAGAGACGGAGGAGGGGGGAGACAGCTAAGACAGCAGACACAATAAAAGATAATGAGACAGTTATTGATAGGATACAACTAGTCATGTTTCCATGGAAACGCACTTCCCCTATTTCTCAGTGGTGGTCTGTTTACAGTAGAGACACACTCACAGCTGAGCAGAGTGCTTCAGTGGGGTGAAATGTTATGATGACTCCCTGTTGGAGGAATCATGGGAGAGTTGCTGCTGTCAGCTGGACTGCAATCAGGTGGGTTTGACGGAGATTTTAATTGGTACTCTGACTAGGAAAGTCTCATGATGACCTCTTCTGTCTTTCTGTCCTCCTAAAAATCCCCTTTGACACACACTGTCCTAACTGACACACCAGATGAAGCTAAGCTGGAATCTCACACATGGCACCACTGTGTTTTTTTTTCTGTTTCTCCTCTTCATTCACCTCCAATGTTTTCAATCATTGCGTTTGATTTTCCACACTTTCATTTCATAACTTCATTTCTCCCAGTCTTCCTTCCCCCCTCTATCTCATTCTTCTTTTTTTTTGTATTTTCCTCCCTCTCTCTCTCCTCCTCTCCCCCTCGCCAGCTCTGGAAAGTACATTCGAACAGTTCAACAGTGACACAAGGACCGTCTCCTTCATGGCAGACCATAGCTTGTGTTTTTTCAATTAAGCCCGGCTCCTGTACACTATTCATTTGGGAAACCATAATTCTCATGGCCCAGAAGAAAAACTAATGGAAAGTCGCTTAGGTTTTTTTTTTTTTTTTTTCCGGGAGAGGTATCGGAAAGACCTGCTCCCTAAAAGTGAGTCCTGCTAGTGTGGATGGAGAATAAAACCATAGGAATATTGACTGTGAGAATGCAGGAGGCGTTGATGGGAGGTACAGGCCTCTTCGAGGGGTACCAGGGTGCAAGAACTCATGGGGTGAATGAGAGCAGGAAGGAGGTGAGTGAAGGAATACAGATGGATGGATTTCCAAGGGAATGTGGATGAAAGTGAGCGAGTCGCAGGCCGGATCTGAATTGCCCAGCGGGGAGGAGGACAGATCCACTGAAATCACTTCAAAGCCTGGTGTCACTGGGCTGCAGATGAGCGCAGACTGTTCCTCCTGTTCCTTTGTTATTTACAAAGATGAGCCCCAATAGCCTGTTGCCTCCATCTGCCTTAAACAGCAATCAACTGAGCAAATAAACATCTCTGCACGTGGCCACACGCATACACACACTCAGGTGCTGGGAGACTGCCCTGTTCAGCATTAAACAGCTCATTGAAGTTTCACTCCATGGCTGTTTAACATGATAGCAAACCCCAGACCCACAATAAAAGTCAAAAGAGTCACATTATATTGACTGAAAACAGCAACTTTAGTAAAAAAAGATCTCAAGTGTCTTCAAAATGAACTTTCTGGAAACTGCTCCTGAAGTTCCCATCCTACATCCCTCTTCCTCGCCTGACCAGTAGGAACCATTTGTCACCATTAACATAAACCTTTCAGAGCACACTGACTCAGTCTGTGTTGACATGGCAACAGTGCAGGAAGTGTGTGCAGACACACTCATACACAAACAATATATCTATGAGTGCATGCTCCCACATGCTTCTATGCACACCTACCTATCACTGCACATACTGTATGAGCGTGCATGTGAAGTGGGAGGGACTTAGACTGGACAGCCCTCCATTACCCCCACCCCTCCCCTTCCCTCCACCCCCCCACCACAACAATCAGCAGGAACAGACAGACAGTTAAGGGGAGCAGTGAGAGTGAGACAGTGTGTAGAGTCTTACCTCAGGAGTAATGCTGTGGAGCCTGTAGAAAGGAAAGCCTCATGACTGTGGCGCTCTCTCTCTCTCTCTCTGTCTCTCTCTCTCTCTCTTACAGTCTCTTTGTATCTCTCAGCTGTGCGGGTCTGAGACACACACAACTCAGCGCAGTTCGGCACAGCACAGCTCGACTCGGCACAACTTTACAGACAGAGAAAGCAGCGGAGCCTCACAGACCCCAGGCCCGTCTGCTCACACTCTGCCTTCTGAGGATGAAAAGAGAAGACTTCATTACCAGCTGTAGACCACGCCTCCACCCTTCCAGCCTCCCTCCCTCCCTCCCCTCCTACTTCACTACCCTGCTTCACTTCCACACTCTCAGCCAGTAGCATGAGGCTGTCCCGGCCAAGAGAGGGGGAGCGGACTGCCAAAGAAAACCTCCCATCCTAGCTGCTGCCAGCGGTGTGCAGTGCAAAGAGGAAAAGAGAGAGAGAGAGAGAGAGAAAGAGAGAGAAAGACCAGAGAGGAGATGAAGATGGTATATGAGCATTTGGATTGTATTCACTAACTTTTATTTGTTTGTTTTGAAGATGTACCTGGAGTACTTTGCTCTGGATCCATTTCAGTGAAACAGATTTGCCAGAGAATGACTTTAAAGAGCAACAAGTAAAAATGAAGGCCAAGTGCGTGTGTGGGTGTTAAATGAGTATGAAATAAAACAAAGAGGGAGAGCAGCAGCATGAGAATTAAATTTGGACCAAGAGAGGAGAGGAAGAGAGGATGAAGCCAGGCAGGCAGGCAGGCAGATGGAAATAAAAACAGAGACACACTCCTGGAGAGACACAGAGCAAGACCGTTTAAGAGAGATCAATTTGACAGTTTAAGAGGACAAAAAAAGAAGAGAGATGTACATATCCAGAGCATCATGGAACTTTTAATTTTTGGTGTGAGAATGATCACACCAAAAACTGAAGAGGAAGAGTACCGCAGCGTGTGTGTGTGTGTGTGTTGGCTTCTGGGGATGGGGGTAATGTCTGTCTCCATGTTTATGTGCCTGAACCAGTTTCTAAGTGTCACCAACATTTCAATAACACCACTCAAAATGAGGATGACAGTTTTTGTCCATCTTCTCACTGTCTGCCCCCTCCACGGTCATCCTCTCTGCTTTTTTCTTCTCCTGCCAAAGTGAACTCTCTCTCCCCATTCAACAGGGAAAATAGGCCCAAAAGCACTAGCTGTTTACTGTCTGTAATTATGAGGGGCTGGGTACACTTAACCCAGGCAAGCAAGCTCTGCACCCTGCCCCCAGTGCCACCACATATACACAAACCTAACCCTGCCAAGTCTGACTGTCTAAACCAGGCCATGGCACAGACGGAGAGGTGCATGGAGACACAAAAGAAGCGTAAATAAAGTGCAGTTGGAGTTGCGGATCAACTTGTGATTAAGAAAAATGTGTTGACAAGAGAGAATTCAGCCAACTTGAGAGAAAAACAGACACAGTGTTGTGTTTTATAAACAACTTACAGCTATGCGTCCACTGGAGTTAAACTACACTGAGTGTTTGTGACACTTCAGAGCAAAAAAAAGTATTTCCATTTTCATATTGCAGATAAATTCTGCTGGTTTAGAATTTGACACAACAGCAGGAGAGCCTTCATTGCATTCAGATACTTTCAACAAAAAGACAGCACTGAAATGAAGACCTAAATCTAGCACTGCTTTCTGAAGCAAAAAAGGCAAGAAGAACTGCAAATGATGTATACAACAACTGGAAAAAGGGGGGATTCAAAAGATCACATAGAGCAACAAAAGAAGCTTAAAGTCTGCATAAAAAGGCAGCAAGTATTTTGGCAGCACATGATGAGGTAAGCAGGGATTATACTGATCTCTGGCAATCTCTCACACCAGCATTAACACCTACCCTCTCCATGGCAGAATAGTGTCAAATTTAAACGGGTCTACAAAACAGTACTTAAAGTTATGGGCTGCCTTCATTGCAGGTTGTGAAAGTGCAGGCCTGGGGTTGCCTGTGAGACTGCTGAAGTGGGGTTTGTCGAGCTTTGACAGCAAAATAAAAGGAGACAAACTTATTTCAGAGTGCTTTATGGCAAAGAAACAGTAATCCTTCAAAACCAGAAACACGGACATCGCCTCTCTGCTGTTTTATGCCTCTAATCCCGGGCTTTACAGACTATGAAAAGGCTAATCCGCCATCTAAAGCTGTTGTTTGTTTACTGTCGACTTTGTCATCAAGTATTGTCATTATCTCAACCATAGTAAGCACATCAAAATGACTCAAAGTGGCCGTAAAATGAGGAAAATTAAAACAGTAATGACAGACTTTAGGTCACACTTTGCAGCTAAAAGGATGTGACTGAGCTGCAGGATCTTAAACTGGGATTAGGGACTGCTTTTGAAGTGACTGGAAGGATACAATACTCCATCCAGCCACTAGGGGCTGAGTTGAGCTGTAATGTATGTACAGTCCATTTACAGGCTTTGACTCCTTGCTATCTGCTCCTGTTTAACAAAGATGACCCTTTGTACCTCCTGGGTAAAATCCTGGGATTATTGTTCTTTCTTTATTCTTATTTCAATTTTTATTTTTTTTGGGAGCAAATCTTCCCACATTTATTGAGAAGTCTATCTGCTGTCTGCTTGGTGTATAAACCTGCTTATCACAAACCAAATTCTTCAATCAGCACTTTTGAGGCTTTAATGAGAGAGACTGTAACATGTTAGAAAATCTGACAGAGCTCCCTTTTTTTATGGGAGCAGTTCTGGTGCTTGAAAACCATGGTCTTACAGGAACTCCACAGAACAGAAAAGCTTTACAGAAAAACTAAAACAGGCTGCATCTGTGATTGGATTTCAAAAGCCACAGGAAAAAGGTCTGGCTGTCAGGCATCACACACGTTTGGCAAAACAACCAACGCAGAACGGGCCAAAGGGGAGTACTGTATTATAGTACAAGACGTCTCATTCGCCAATAACTCCAAGAATAGTTTGCGGTGGGATCACATGTTCATGCATGTCAACCGAGGAGCATAACAGGAACAATAACATACAACAGGATTTAAGCTTTATGTGGTACATACATAGATTCCGGGATTCAATCAAAGGTTGTTGTGAAATCTAAATTTCACTCTTAACGACCTGAATTGAAAACAGAGTGGAGGCAAAAGCAAAAAGAGGGGATTTTATGTGTTTTTAACACAGAAAACCTCTGTGAGATACATCAGAGTGACTGAGACTGTGACCACGTCGGCATATTCAGGATGAATGTAGACATTGCTTGAACGCAGCCTAGAGGCCTGTGCGTATCAAACACCGATGGCTTGTATTATACTAGTCTAAATAAGCTGTTAGTTCAAACTACGGCTGAAAACTCAAAGTTTTATACCGTACCTCCAAACTGTCTAAGAGCTCTCTCTCTCTCTCTCTCTCTCTGCAAGAAAAGTCACATAAAACTCCAATTCTAAACATATAAAGTGTTTTAATGACATTAGAGTACTCTGACCTCCCCTCAGGGACTAACACCTGGGCCAAAAACTAATTAAACTGAGAATTATTGGAGGCATCGTGAAGGAAAACATTCAGTGAGCTACTGTACACTTACGACTAAATATAATCCCATAAAGATAAATATAGGAGTGAAGGGAAAGATTCTGATATTAATCTTCCACATGTCTTTGCAGAAGTTTGGCCACCGCTGGAAAATGCAAACGAGGAAAATATTTAAGAACTAATTCTGTACTTGAACAAAATGATAAATCAATGCAGCTATAAGAGGACAGTGGGACCAAGTATTAAAGCCTGGCTGTGTGCAATATTTTGTGCTGCTGAAGCACACATGGAGTAATAGTTTTCAGGCGGCAATGAAGCCACTTTCATTAAACTTCATGAAAACGCTCATAGCTGCTAAAATGCACACCTCAGGACTGTTTTAAATGATATTTGTTTCAGATGCATGTCGTTTTATGATATTAGAGCAAGTGGAGTACAATACAAAATGTTACAAAATTGAGTGGGGGTATAAAGTGGTCATTCTGGGCTTTAATGATGCCCCAGTTCAGTTGTTCCCCCTGCACCTCTCTGTAAGACAACTGGTTTAGACTGAGCTGATGGATGGAGACTTGAAATGTTCAGTGAAAGCAGTTACACAAAGTCTCTCCAGAAGGTTTACACAGAATTTTACACAAACAAGGACTGATTCTTCCTGTGAATAGCAAGTCTGTGCACTCAGACAAGAAAGGTGCCCTACAAAAATGAGACAGTGGGTTTCACCTCAGACACCAGTGATGGTAGCTGACAAAAAGGTCTAACACATCCATCCCCTCCCTCTGTCTGTGCAGCTTCTAGGCTCTGGTACTGCAGGGCTGAGTGTCCAGTCTGAGCACTGGGAATTTCACACCTACAATGGCCATGACCAGTAGAGCACAGCCCATCACACCCTGGTGTGCCATTTCTGACCCAGGGAGCCCAGCAGCCACGAACACATGCTCTCCCCCGGGGCAAACAGGGGGCACCCCAGCCAGTGTAGACTTAGCAGCTTGGCGATGTGTACTCGCCCCGCCATGTGGACCGGGAGTGATGATGTTCCCAGGGAGATAGGGTGTGGGGGTTTGAACTGGGGAAGGGCTGAGGTGGGACCCAGGAGGTTAGAGGTGAAAGAGGAAGAGTTTAAGGAAGGACCCTAACCAGGTGCCTGGAGCTGTTGGAGAAGCACTGGCAGACTTGGTCTTCTGCAAATTACAATTACAGTTCAGTGAAGAATAAAAGAAAAGTGTTCTTGAAAATTAAAGGCTTGTAAAAAATTGGTTAGGATTAGTCAATCATTTTCAGGTAGTCATTAGTTCTGCTTTTTCTCTCCAGATTCTGATGTGTACGACTTCAACTCTGGATATCTGCCAATACCAAGGGAAGCTTCATTACAATGATCGTTTTGTGTCTCACTGTGTGGTTTGGCAGCAGACTGTGGCTAAATTACATCTGACTAGCTCTGAATTTCATTAGGGCAAGTGCTGATTGTTATTACTTGATGTCTTGAACATGGATCCGTCTCATCCTGGCCAATATCCACTCTGCTTAACAAGGTCAGGGCAGACTCAGATTAGTACATCTCCGGGCATGTTTAAGACAGTGCTGCCAAAATAACTTCAAACATTTGCTGCAAATATGTGATTGAAGCTGAACTCTGTGTTTAATAGAAATTGGCGCAAAGGCAACACATGAGATGTTGAAACTCATGAAAATTACAAGCTCTTTCGAAGTTTAAAACTAGAAAGAAAAGAACTAGAAAGTTCTTCAGTTTTCGAAAACACACTCAAAGGACCATCTCCCAACTAATGAGGTTAATGCACAAAAGGTTTGTAGCATGACTGGGTTAAAAGAAAAAAAAATCAGACTCTGAGCCTCACAGAGGTAAAGATGGGAAGAGGTTCACCATTCTATGAGAGGCTGCAAAGAATTGATTTTTTCATATTTCATACTTTCTGCGGTCCATAAAATCATTCAAAGATTAAGAGAATCTGGAGAAATCTGACAAAGCTCAGAAATGATACTGGATGACTGTGATCTTTGGGCCCTCGGGCAGCACTGCATTAGAGACAGACTTGACTCTGTCATGGAAATTACTGCATGGGATCAAAGTCACTTCCTCAAACTTTTTGAACCCAGTTCATTGCAGCACTCAAAAATGCAGGTTACCATGCAGAGAGAAAGCCTCAGAAAGACACGATCCAGAAACACTTGCAACTTTTCTCATTTAAGATTGACTGAGGTGAAGAGGTGAACTGTTCTGTATTGAACTTTTAAAAGTAGCAGACACTTCTTCCTCCTTCAAAGAGGAGAGGGACAACCTGGCTTGTTATCAGCGCACCGTTCAACATCCAGGGTTTGTAATGGTAAGAAGGGGGACTTAAGCACAGTGGAAAACTGGCCTGTGGTCTAACAAAGCAAGATTTGACATTCTTTTTGGAAGCACTAGAGAGGAGTGGAACCACCCAGCATGTTATCAGTGCATTGTTTAAAAGCCAGCATTTGTGATGGTACTGGGATGCATACGCTCCAATGGCATGGTTAGTTTACACATCTGGGAAGGCAACATTAATGCTGTGAAATATATGAAGTTTTTGGACCACCCAGAAAATGTCTTTTTCAGGTAAGACCTTGCATATTTGAGCAAGTCAATACCATAACACATTTTCCTGGTATCACAACAGCATGGCTCCGTAGTACAAGAGTCCAGGTGGTAAACTGGCCTGCCTACCTTCTTGATTCGCCACCCATTAGAAGTAAGTATGTTGTCTGATGTTGTCCATAGGCTTCAAAGTATTTGGGAACCATTACATTTTGTTTTTATCAACATCTTAGACACTGTTAAGGCTGGGCGATATGGCCTCAAATCAATATCACAATATGTTGAGCAGTTCACCTCGATAACGATAAATAGACAATAACTACTCCACAAGCTGCTCACCCCCTCTCGCATCCAAAACCAACTTTTTTTTTTTTTAATCTTTTGACACTGAATATATTGACATGATGCAACTGATGTCGGTTAATGTTGTAAATTTTGGTATCGGTAAATTTTCGTGTTATCGCCCAGCCCTAGGCAACGTCACAACTTTTTTATACTTGGAGTTATGAAAATTGAAACTTATCTCATATGAATTGCCTTGCAAAAAGAAAAAAACACCTGTACAATCTTTCTCCTCATCAAAGTTCAAACATATAAACAATAAAAAATACCTGAAAGACACCTGCTATAGTTGATTTATTTCAAATCCTTTTTGTGAGGCACAGAGCAGGACAGGGAGGTGAGACTTCAAAACTACCTTTTACAAATCATGTTCACACACAGAAAACAATATAATCACTATGCTCCACCTCACTAGACTGGTGTCTCAGGCTGAAGTGAAGCTAATTGTAGGGTTACAAACTCAAAATGTCATTTATGCCTGGATCACTGTGATAAAGTGATAGAGTTAAACGCTAAAACACCTATCAATGTTTCCTCTTTGGGTTCTATCTTCCGGTGCCTTTATTTTGTCTGATTAAAGTGTCTGGGTTGGAATAGAGCAGGCTGGATATAGAGCTGCCATTGAACTGTAGCCGAGGCACAGCAAACCAAACACAGAGTCCTCATCTGCACAAACAGGCCTTTCAATCCCTCGCCTCACTTTTGTCCCATCAATACCTCACTCTTCATGGAGACCAAAGCCACCAACTCCAACCTTCCCTCTGCCCCCGTCCAAACACACAGAGAGGTGAATGGTGTCTACTGTACCGTCCGCCTCTCCCCTCCCTGTGGGGTAGCACACAGTTTGACAGGCCTGTATTTATGGCTGGCCTGAGACGTGCTGGAATGAATCATGAAAAGGACCAAAATCATCTTGCTTGATGTTCATTTATATTGAGAGTTGGTCAGCTGTGTGGGTCTGTGTGTGTGGCCTGTGTGGAGAGAATGGGGCTTATGTGAGAGTGTGAGTGAATGTGTGGGAGTCGAGGATTAAGATAAGCCTTCTAATGAGCAACAAAGTGTGTTAGTAACACTGTGTTTATTATCTGTCTGTGGCGGTGCTTTAAAACAGAGAATGTGCTCTTGTCTGACATTGTGCAGCCTGTCTCTGCTGGGAAGCGGGTTAGATAACTCCAAACTTATGAAACTGTAATAATAAGTGCGAAGGTATTCTCAAATTTGAAGGTTAACATTTTTGTGTAAATCTCAGACAATACTCACATGGGCACAATTACATTAATTACATAAATCATTTCACACATGCTATGTAGGTTGAGACTGAGGGGTTACTGGCACACTGAGCACCTTTCCCTCTCTCTACATCCTTATCATGTCCCGTTAGAGTCACTGACACCAAGTCTTTTCTGGGAGTCCCTGAGCTCCATCATGCTGTAGATTCCTCTGGATTGCTGCCGCAGATGTTCTGTGGACCTATCTGCTTTCCAGCTGCTCCAACTATGTGGATCAATCTCACCTCTGTCCATCTCCCTCTATCCCCTCTCTGAACCCAATGCAGTCTCAGCAGATGACCGTCCAACATGAGTCTGGTTCTGCTCAAGGTTTCTGCAAGTTAAAGGGAGTTTATCTTCACCACTGTAACTTGCTAAATTCTTTAAAGTGCTACACTCATGTGGTTGAAGATGGGAGTCCGGTCTAGAACAGCTTTTTTGGGATAACACATTGTGAGCACATCAAGAAAAGCCCCATGAGAAAGTGCCTCTGGAAGTGATTGGATAGACCTACAACCAATCAGAGCGCAACAGGGTGTGCAGAGAGAGAAAACCCTGTCACCAGTATGGCACAGGATGAATGCTGTAAGTGCAGTTGTTTGTTTTCATCCTCATGAAAATATATCTCTCAGTTTGTTAAAACCGCAGCAATAGCAGATTCAATTGACCTCCCTGTGGTGGAAGCTGCAATCATGATTGTTTACGTAAAGGCTTACGGCGGGGACCCACTGGGGGCGACTTGAGGCAGCCAAAAATACTGCTCACTCTTGCCGCTTCACTTGGTGTCCAAAACCGGGAAGTTTTTCAACAAAATCAACACTTTACAACGTGTTAAATTCATGGTGCGCCACTTTTAATGCTGAAAATGCACAGTTTTGACATAATGAGGGGGAAAAGTTGATAAAAAGCAGGCTACCAGCCATATCTGGGCTGCTAGACCCTGCTGTACTTCAAAATTAAGGATCATAACTGGTCCAGTGTATAGGATCTGTGTGCTAGTGGGTCTAGCAATGAGAGGCTGGTTGAAATCTCCTCTCACATATTAAAGTGATACTGTGCCAGCAACAATAACTATTACGGTAAGTATGACTCCTCCTCTTCACATAGGTGCCCCCATCACTTAAAAAAGAAACATTTCATGTTTTCAGAGTTCATATGCAGTTTATAACAACAACAATCTCACAATATGAGGTACATATGTGAGAAAGGCAAATCTGGAAAATGTCAGGATCTACTTTTTCTAAGTCTATAAAATACACAAAACCAATGTTTTATGATTCAAGTAGGACTTTGCCGTCAGCAGAGGGACTTCCTACTCAAAAGGACTTAAAGCTGAACCTCCTTCATGTGAGGTTCAGCACGGTCACGGTCAGTAGGGACAAGATAGTAACTCAAGCTCTTGTTTTTGATCAACATTTGAGAGTTACTCCAAGACAGACCGTGAAAAATGCGAAGCTTTCCTTTAATTATAAGCAGAGTAAGCTTGACGCGATGTTAAGCTTGCAGGAAACCATATCAGTCCTTTAAAGCAAAATGCAAAAAGGTCACAGACTTTAAGTAAATCCTCGTGACTCATCTAATTTGAGACCTGAGTTAAATGTGTTTTAGTAGAACGGCATTTATAAATAGTTGCAATGACTCTGCTTCCATCCCCATATGTGTCAGAGGGTGGTTTACCCCAACATATCCTTAAATGAGTGCAGAATTCACAAGATTTTCCCTATAAATGTCATTCGCTGACTTTTGCATTTAACAAGCTCAATAAATAATCCTCTTTACGGAGGAAAACATATTCAATTGAAGCGCATTTCTGCAGGAAAAGTCCAACAACTCCCTTCTGTCTAAGGGATTTATGATCAACTCTACAAAAATCCAACTTTTAAAGACTTGTGACTTTTTTAAACTCTTCATGTCAGTCTCTGTCTCAGAAGACACCCACACACAGGCACGCTGCACGCATCACCCCACGAATCGGTCATGGTGCACTGTCTCTGTGGCTGTGTGGTAACAATGGGAGCTGGGGTGAGCTAAGGCAGACCTCTCTGGTTTTTCTCCACATAAACCTTTAATATGAGGCCTCCTCAGCACCAGTCGGCCATCTAAAGACACTGTACCCTGTAATTGACCTTAAAAATACTTTCCGTGGAGGTCGGCAGCCATGTCGTTGGCCTATGGCCCAAGTAGCGGCCGCATCTCCTTAGCCCAGAGGAGCCTGGGAAGGCCTCACAGGGTATATTTAGTGGCCCTGTCCCTTTGAATGGAGCAGGAGATGTAGATAATGCCAGTCTGTGTATAAAACCACTCCACCGCCCACGAGTGGGCCTCTCACAGGCACATTTCCTTCTCCCACGGGGATGAGTAACCTGAGGTCAAAGGTTGGCTTTATTCAAGGCTGGTAAAGGACCAACATAAGACACTGACCAGGATCCACCTCTACAGTAGACGACAGATATGCTGGTGTGAAGTATAACAAGGGTTTTGTTGTGGGATACAGACACAGGCGAGCAGAGATGGTCACACCTACTGAGACACGATGGCCGAAGGGCATCAAAGAAGCAGCTGATAAAAGGTCTGCTTGACCTCCTGTTGGAGTGTTGTCCCATGTCTACATTTTTTCGTGCTTTTTTCAGGTATGTATTTTATCATGGATGGTGCGCCTCCATCTCCTCTCATTGTAAAAAAAAGTAAAGCTAAAGGACCGCTTTAGTGGGTGCTGACATACTGTCTTGATGATGGTCTGTACCAACAAGAATATCAGACAGGTTTTATCCTCATACCTGGAGTGAAAAGTCCAGTTAGACATGAGGGCAGCCTGAAACAGATGTCACAATCTGCTCTCAGTATAGAAATTAAAAAGACTGTACTTTTTTGAAGCTCAATTCAGCTTACGTAGTGCCAGTAAATCTGTGCTCTCAAATAATATGTACTTTTTGGCTCTTTAATCTCCTGTTTATGACCTTCACTGCAGCTGCTCAGCAGCTCTTAAAGTTTGGGCTTCATTTAAGAGGAACTGTTGTGCTGTCCGTGCTTTTATACAGTCTATGGTGATTAGGGGTGGGAATCACTAGTGGCCCCATGATACGATAGTATCACGATACTTGGGCCAGGATACGATATTATTGCAATTTTTAACAATTTGCAATACAGTAAGAATTGCAATACAATATATTGCTATTTATAAAAAAATTTCAACTGTTAAGCTAGTTTAGCATTTGTCTTTCCTTTATGTTTGTCCTATTTACACTGTTTTATTTTCATGGAGCACATCTTGCAAACCTTATATATATTTGTTGCACTAACTTTCTCCTGCTCTATGATGTCACCTCTGCCAACCTCACTGCACAAACAGTTGATTTTTTTTCTATTATCATAGATTTGACATCATATTAACAATTAATTTGAAAATATCGATACTTGGTCAATGAGACGACACAATATATCACCAGACAAAATATCGCGATACGATGCTGTATCGATTTTTCTCCCAGCCCTAATCGCGATGATGTCATTCCTCCCAATTCAGTCAGATTGTCCTGAACAGCTCAGATGATGACACACACTTTGATGGTTGTAAGGTTGATGTAAATCTGTTGTTGTCTGGGAACATAACTCAGTGAAAGAGAACTGAAGTGCCATAATCATTCAGTCAATTCAATCAACACTAGCATGTTGCTCAGTCAAAAGTGATAATAAAAAACTTGCTTAAATGCTAAAATATCTTCTTCAAAGTTAATTCACTTGGTACCTTTTCAAAATGCCACAACTTGGACACATAAAGCTCCATTGTAAGTGTTCAAATATCAAATACTGCTACTAAACCTTTAGGAATACTTATGTAGCTGCAGTGTTACTCTGGCATCAGTTACATCCTGATCTGGTCTACAGATACAGCCGTCAAATCATTAAAGACACGTTTGACTTATGTACTGCATAAGTCGTGTAAGATCTCCTCCTACTCTGGAACCAAACACGGTAAAAAACAAAACGTAGTGTTTAACCGCACATGCTTAAGTTTAAACAAGTTTTACCTCTGGCTGAGGGAAAGTTGTCATGAGTGTCACGCCTCATGAGTGTTGCTGCTGGCAGGGACTCCATTTGAACCTGAGTATTTTGATCAGTCTGTCTAAATCTTATCCAAAACTCGCAGCTTTGACAGATCAACACTGACAGACTCTGTTAATGTAAAACTAAACATAAAGCCATTATGCTAAAGATTATAGGCATGGGAAACTATTAGAGAAAAAAAAAAACAGTGCAGTGCAGTGCAGGTTATTTTATATTAAAATAGAAAAAAATAGTTTAAAATGTAAAGATTGAATAGAAATTGAAAGGGCAGGGGCTCAAAATGAAGAACCTTTGACTTGTTTTGGATTTAACCCTAACCCCAACCCCTAATTTGCATTTGTCAAATCATTACTGAAGATGATAACTTCATAGGGGTTCACTTTATTGATCACTGTTTTGGACTAAAGCGCCCACTTTTACAGCTGAAGGTGCAGGTTTACAGCGTGGTATGTCCTGTTAGTGTTTACTGATCAGCGCCGTGAGCCTGTTGACTCATTGTCACTCATACAGACCGTAACATTCCTGCTTGTTTCTGTTCGGGAATGTTGTCAGGGGCACTTGCGAGTAAATTTATGATTCCTCTCTGGACAGATCTTTGTCGCACATAAATCACATCTTCTTTTCTGTCTTGTGAAGTTTTAAAAGGCAAACTTTGGCTGACAGAGGAACAAAAACACTCCTCCACTTCGTCCTTTGCTGACCGCGACCTTGTGACCCATCAAAGTTTTCAGAGTCAAGTGCTCCTCTGCATCCGAGGTCATTTATGCAATATAATAAGTGCCTTTATCTGATGCAAGCACATGGTTTCACTGTTTTATTCCGCTCCAATAACAACAGAGCGTCCCGCGTCTCTGACAGGTAGAATTATGGGTTTTTAACGTAACAAGCTCTGCGTGTCTAAAAGCCACTGACACTGATGCTCCACCACAAAGCTTGTCTGCATGAGCCCCCTGTCTGTCTGTCTGTCTGTCTGTCTGTTCTGTACAGTGTAGTGACAATTTTGTGTCAGCTGTGTTTAGTTAGGGGTGAAAGAGAGCAGATGGGCCAGTGTTTACCCGCAGCGTGTGCAATCACACCTTTAAATTCCTGGGAGTAGCAGAGAGAGACGCTGCAGCCACTTGTGCCTGCCTCTGCTCCTAACCAGCAGAGACCACAAGCCTTGGCAAGCTTCAGTCCCATCATAAGCCAGCTCCACTCATCTAACTTTAGATTTCATGGCCTCCAGCAACGAACGCTTGAATCTCTCATCACAACCAGACACAAGTACAACTGTGTCCTTAAATCATCCATAGCATTGTTTGAATGCTGTCATAGAAGGGAAGGATCCCCGCAATATTTTATGAAAACAGATCAGCTCTTATTATCTTCACGTCTCTGTTTAGACAACCATCTGCTCCCTTAACGATCCACACAAACAGAGCAAAGACAGAACAGGGTCTGAAAACTCCTGGATTCTCCTCCACAGATGCTGCCCCTGAGTATAAAACCCGAGCCCAAAAATAACAAAGGAACACTTTTGATCCGCTATTGAAGAAGGGGCAGCCCCAGAGCTCGAACAGACCAGGGGTTCATGTGCTCGCCGTGGTCACGGTGACAGATCTGCCGACCAGTCCTTGCCCATCTGGGCTGCCAGTGGCGCTCTGCCTGCTCTCAGAGGACAGCGAGTTCAGACTCGTAATTTAGTTCAGATGAGGTGAAGCAATATTTCCAGATTAATACGAGCCATATTCCTTTAGAACTGTCCTTTCTTTCTTCTTCTTCTCCTTCCTGCATTTTTTTTACATCTTACATGTCCAAAAACGTCTGGCAGAGGATGAAAAGGGAGGAGAAAGTGAAAAAAAGAAAGACGTACGGAGAGGGAGGATGGACAAGTTTAATGTGGTGTGGGGCAGACGCACGAGAAAAACCCAGAAGCAGTTTGGCATGAGTGAAGCTTACAAATCTTTTAATCACTCCTGAAACATCCAGTGACGTCATCTCATTGATCACCTTATTATCACCTATTTAAAAGTGTGCAAGTATGTGCTCTGTGTCCTTCTTTAAGGAAGTTTCATGATGGGAGGAAAGTGGACGGATTTCACTCTAAACATCCCGTGATATAAGTTAAATAAACCTCTCAGTAGGGCTTGGATGCCATGCAGGCGGTCTGAATCCTAAAATTACCTGGAACAGATTCAACCAGCTGTAAAGTACAGGTTCAAAGATGCAACACGCCACCTCAAGTACTTAACTTTTTAACAATTTTCCAGGTCATAAAATGTGTCTGAGTTCCTAAAGAAATAAGCCTAAGCAGCCGTGTATCATATTAAAATGAGGTTGCTCCAGCTGTGATTAGTCTGGCTTGGCAGTGGCTTCAGTAGTTGGGATTCAGGAAGTCACAGCTGTCCCTGTCCTGCAGCTGCTGCATAAACATGTGACCGGCTGCATAATCAGCCCCAAAACTGATGATATGCAGGGCTATAAATCTCTGCAGCATTCAGAGAGGAGCTGCATTTCTGATACATGCTGTGATAACATTAAACCACAAACAAGTTAGCATGAAAAAGCTGAAGCTGAGGAGTAAATGAGAGCCATGCAGCTGTCTGGGTTTGTCGTTGGACCAGAGCCAGCTGGACCAACAGAAACCCCACATGCCGGGGCTTTCATCAGTTGGCCATTTTGCTAATGTATTTGGAAAAGTGGAGATTAATCAGCTGTCCCCCAAAAGTTTCTGGAACAAAAGTTCAGATCCATGGTTCCTGTGCAGAGTTCCCCATAGTCTTCACTTTTGATTCAGAAGGACGTTCTGTCATTTTCTTCATATAGAGAGCAGAAGCCAAGCAGCCACTTTGGCTGTGCTCCCTGTAAAGCTCAGAGCACAAGCATGCAGATGAAGAGCTGATGATGGATGTACAGCAATGGCACTGTACAGGCTTTTGATTATTTCATGGTTTCCTTATCCTAAAGTTACTGTCCAGTGTCACTGTGTTCCTGCCTTGTAAGCAGGATCTCTGGCTGAGCGCCTACATCGAACCATTCCTGCTTGTTTAATAATGAAACAAGAGTTTCACTCCTGCTTTACTGTGTCTGATGTTTTCTCTGGATCATTCTTCCCCATCCATCTGCCGCAGTGCATGACTGTGATTTCATGAGCAGGCCTTCTCATTGGCTGGGCTTCGTTCACCCGCAGCGCTTGAACGGTACAATTGAACAGAGGGTTTGAAAGGGAACGTGAAATTAGTGGTGACTCATCTCTGGCCGCTGTGTTATTATATCTTTTCTTCACCAGCGATAATTTCGATCGATCCAAAGTTCCATGAAATCAGACCGAAAAAGCCAAAAATATGCATCTGTACTCCAAAAGACAGGAAAATCCTTTTTTAAAGTGACCTCATGTTATTCACATCCTATATGTTAAAGACACTTTAAAGTGGGAACAAAGTGTCTGACACTGGAACACATGCAAGATATTTCATGCCTCTGTAAATTACAACCCCGAATAAA